ATATATATATATATATATATATATACCGATTTCAATATATCTTCACGCTAAAAAGCCTATTTCACCTTATTATAAACTTCAATAATGCAATGAAAACCATTGGTTTTACAGATTACTATCAAGGAGTAAAAGATTTATAATTCTACCAAAACGGTGGAACGTCTGAAGTGTACAAGACATTTTTCAACTCCACTTTATCGAGCTTCATTTCCAACAACGAATATATTGAAAAAGCGCCATTTGGTCCAGCAGAACGTGATGAGACAATCGAATGATCGACCACCCATGTCGCCCACTATCCCACTTGCGTTTTAAAAAAAAATTCGAATCTTTACTGCAATTCTCAGCGTTCAGTTTATAAAACCTAGGCTAAAGCAAGCTCGGAAATAAATTTGAAACCCATGAAGTGACAAAACAAAATCGCTTCTATGAGTTTATGAGTCAGTGGTACTTCCTGCTTTAGAATGGTACTCAGCAGCAGGAGGATGATGACAAACCTTACTCCAGTTAACAAAAAGTCATTGGCAGTTATCGATGAACCGATCATGGTAGTGAATGGGTTAATATAACAAGATAATCATTATCGCATTTATACATTTCCCGAGTTTTCAAGAATACTACACTCAGTTGATTTCGAAAGTCCGAAAACCGAATTCAGAACAACAAAGAACAAAAAAAACTTCACAAACATGCCTTTCTATAAGAATAATGATTTTTAGTCCCTGGAAAATAGACATGAGTATACCCGACAGGTATGACAGAGAGATATTTGCCGCGAAAGCGACTCGTCATTGTGAAATCCTGATACATAACCCAGCCACTGCCTTCAGCATGGTGCGCTGCAGCAGGAGGGTGATGAGAAACCTTAAACAAGGCCCAGTCATTAATCTGCTAGAAATTGGTCTATAGCCATGGCTAGTTCTAACAGGTGTGACAACTTTTCAACGTCAATGATACACAGAAGGCAACAAAATGTGGAAGTGCTGTAGTACAAAAAAACATCGAATTCAACCTGTTCTGTGATACTGCGCCATCCAAGATCGCTAGTACGATCACATTCGTATGTTTCACCCAACAATGGATTAAATGGTTTGTTGGTGCGATTTCCCGTTGTGGAATAGTTACTAACTGCGTACGCAGCGACGTAAGCCATTTGTTCAAATGGTTCCTGCAATTCCTTACTCAGTATAAAAATATCTTGTTAAATAGGAATAACTGTGAAATTTTTTAAAAAAAGCATTGAAACAACGCCTTAAAATGAAAACAAAATGTGAGAATGACGCAATCGAAAGCCACTCACTAATGTAGAAGCTGTTTCTAACAACGAGGCGTACTCCAAATCCTCTGTAATTCTTTGTAAAACAGATAATGGCTCGCTGAAGTTAACCTGAAAAGTTTTCCAATGGTTCTAAACACGACCTTGAATTTTCCCAAATCTTGGAAAGGTTTCATAGCACAACTTCCCTATAACAAAGTTACTGGAATAGTCAGAATAGAAGAGCTATTTTCCAGTTTTGTATATATTGTACTAACACTGAAATTTAGGAAGATAATACGGTTAATAACGCCAGTAGTTACTCATTCTTAAACGGGATTTCCACCTTATACTTTAAGCATACTCTACTGATCCCCTAGATTACAAAGAAAATCGGTCTTTTAAAAAACTAACTGGCATAGGAATCTTTGACAGCTCCTTCCCAATGCAGTTTTTCATGATAGACCACAGATTGATAGGAAGATCGGGACGATCCGGAACTGTCGTTCTTCGCTCACGTCCGGCACGGGGGTGATACCCTGCCGCAGAAGAGCGCATAGGAACGAACGACGTTGGCGCCAGTGCCATTGTAGTAGTGCAAGCCGCCTGCGGTGGAGCGTCATTCAACGTCGATAACGACTCCGAGTCCGAGTTTCTACAAGAACCATATCTTCTGAAATGTATCATATCGTTTTATATCTAGTTTAACCCGTATTGCCCGATGATCGCCTTTCTGAAAACTGCCAATCATTTTTTGTTAAGTACACTAGTTGTGGAGTCGGGAATTTGATAGTCTCATGAAAAAAGTCTTGTCCAATTACTTTAGGTACATAAATGAATTTTTCTAAAATGTCCTTTTGACTTCAAATCTATTTAAGGTTCCAGTCCACGGGAAATTGAAAGCGGTTTTTACCTTTAAAATTGCTAACGGAAACACTGCAACCAAAAACATCAAGACACATTGGGAGAAATAGTTCAGTCCTCTTTTATGAACTCGCGACTGTTCAGTGAATTCGTTCTTTAAAATAGTAGTTCCGACAAGAAAATTGAAGAAACAAAAGTCCTTCATGCTCCAGAAGATTGCAGTCGTTAATGAATAATACGAGTTGTACGCTGTTGAGAAAGATTTGTAACGTGCTCCGGAAAACTAACACCGTTGTTTGTGAATAGGACTGACGTGCTGTTCGCAAAGATTTGTACACTTAAATGGTTTTCCTTCTCGACAAACAAGGTTCACTATGAGTTAAGATATTTCTTAAAGTTAGAGGACGCAATAATTTTCAGCCACATGTGGTTGTATACAATGCACATCGTCCGTTACGTGTTAATAGTGCAACGGAAAGCACGGGCTGAAGAGTATGTGACAAACACATTTTAGTAGTATTCTATTAGTTCGAAAGTTAGCCGATATTATATACATATATGTATGTATATGTCCATATATATACTGTACATATGCATGTATATGAGTATATAAATACAATACAACGCTAGCTGACGTTTCGGCAGTGTCGCCTTCGGGCATTCATCCCTGCTACTCATTGTAGGGTTTTTGGCATTTATCCAAAAAGCAGGGATGAATGCCCGGAGGTCATACGCGACCTGATCCCGTACGTTCGCATCGATTTTTGATGTGGGATGGTGCAGTCGTCAACCACATGCGACTATAATCAGCTGTTCTAATCTTCCTCATTGGAAGTCACGAAAAAGCGGTGGGTTTTTCGAGAAGTTGGTGGTCGTGTAATTACCAAAGAGTCTTTCGTCTTTTTGTAAGTGTTATTGAAGCGTTTGGCCTAGTAGATTGTATATCACCATACCCTTCCAGGCTCTGAAGAAGGCGATTCTGCCGAAACGTCAGCTAGCGTTGTATTGTATTGTGTTTTTTATGGAAGTAAATGTATGCTGTTTAAAAACCTCGCGATTGCTGAAAATAAAACGACACATTCATATTTCTTTTGTCTTTCCATTCCGTTACTTTTCAAGGTATCCTTTCCATTCCCATTATTATGAGCGTCTTCATAGCGAATATTTGGCGGGAATTCATGAATTCATTGAATTCATAGCACCAGAGCAGAATTTTTGTATGCTTGTGTTGTCCTTCCAAACTTATACAGTTATCTAATTTGTATATAACACTTTAGGTAACTAGAATCGGTAATGTTTGCACAAGATTTATTGTTGTCCAGTTTATATCTATCTCGGCTAGAAGTTGCCTAAACCATTACAATGCCATATTCTAGCTTTGTTATGAAATAGAGGCTAGGGTTGGCGAAGACAAATGTGTATTCGCCACCAGTACATAAATATATATATATATATATTTATGTATACACGTGTAAGTATATATACATTATATATTTATCCTCCCAACGGTTTACCTCATCGCGGCTGGGAGGTGTTCCTGGTTGTCGGAATGGTACAGGGGGGGGGGGTTCGTCTCCCTGGCAGGGTCTTCTAGGCTGATGAGTCCGCCGTTTCCATCAGGAAGCCTAACTAAGAGTAGACCAATACCAGGATCCACCACCGTCCTGGTATCAAAGTCGCATGGTGGCCAATCTCGCTCTGATCCACAAGGGCTGCGATTGCCTGTAGTGGTGATCACCTGGACCAGACTTTGGTCAGGCTGACCATGGAATTCCAGGGAACTACAATGGCTTAACCAGAAATCTCCGAAAAGTGGTGATTATGCTCGGATCCACAAAACCAGTGAGGGTGGACAGTTCAAATTCATCTGTCATCCGCGAAAGTCATCCAACTTACGAGTAGGTTCAACTGCTTCGTGACAATTTTCGGTTTTCTTTATTAATGTCGTTCAATGCCGGCCGATGCTTTTTAGAAAACTTGGGTGACCATGCCAGAGCATTCTCAAATCTTCCTCACAGGCAGTAGCCAACTTTCGTGGACTGAAGGCAGCTAGCTGGTCTCGAATTACCATGACACCGATCTCATGACATCGAACAGATGATGGAGAAGATTGATTAGCTCGAGGTGGAACTAAACATGGCCCATGTGGAATACACATAATACAGTATGAATGTAACGAAATTCTTTTTTTTATGTTACCTTCTACACCAGTGATCTAAATGAAACCTTACATTACTCTCATAATCACCAATAAGAAAAAAAGGGAAAATCCCCTGGATATCGCAATGCAGCAGCTAAAAAATTCATGCAATATTTACACGGCCATGAATAGACCCTGTATTGCGGTAGTTCCTCGCCATTACAAAGGAGTCGGAAAGCGGCTCGATACCATCCAAGAACGCCAATTAATGCCTTTGCTCGCTTTAGCTGTGCTCTAATACTCGGATTCCAAGGGTAACCACGATCGATCAGCATTCAACGACATTCATGAAAAAATTTTCAAGCATCAGTCGTATGCGGAAACAAACTCGAACATCATCGTGGATAACGGGCGTCAAAAAGTGGAACTGATTAGACCAAATGCTGGGGATTCACCCAGTATGCAATAAGGCAAAAAACTTGACTAAAAATAAGAATAAAAGTGTAATGTATAACACGAGTCATATAATAAGAAAATTGGCAATGACTCTTCGACAGCTTAATTTCTAAACCTGTATATAATCCTTTATAATTGCCGTTTTAAAGTGTAAGTCAAAAATTTTAGAAACATTAACAGAACAGGAGAACTACAAAGCACATTACACAAAGCAGTTGCCGACACTAATGAAGCAGTTAGGTACAAGATCGCATCCCACTGAACGAAACCGCAATTCGTCTCAGTATACGAAGAAGATTAGTCTCGACTGAAAAAAAGAAGTTTCGTGGACTCCAGAAATTTGCATGTCTCATCCCACTTGAGATCCAAAGCTTACGAATCTCCTTATGAAAGAAACTCCGGATGGCTACGTTATGCAAAGTGGCATGAAGGGGTTGTGCAGAAACTAAAAGTGATCATGCTATCAGATGAATTCAGAGGGCTTAAATCTCATTTGTTGCACAAAAGGAGATCACATGATATTTATAAGTAATGCGCAACTTGCTTTCTCCCTTTCGCCTACTAGTTTTTTTAGTTGAGTGTTAACGTTAAATGGAATTAAGAGAACGTTGGATGGGGGACAGGCAATTGAGCAACCTGGTTTTCGAAAAGTGTTAGGAGTTATGGACCATTAAAAAAGAATAGAGGACAAAGCTCTCGGCGTTCATAACAGCCATGCATTCGACTTGATTAAACATCGGTGGAGGTGACTGAATGCATATCTGGCCTTCACAGTGACTCGCTGTGGCCTACCGATATATCGAGTCAGTAATGCTATTCTCCCAGATGAGTGTAGCATCAATTTTCCGATTTACGAATGATGGAAGGTATGGTGAGCCTGGGGCGTGGGTCGACCCATGTGTATTGTAGGGCGCCTCTATGCACGCATACAGAATAAAAACATGTGCAGACAATAAGTAACTAAATAAAGATCACTCATGAACAGAGTTATTTGCAGAATTATAAGACTACAACGCAGTAATATCTACCACAAAAGAAAAAGTTCAAGATCTGGTTGCGTCAATGAAATCGAAAATCGGAATGAAAGGAAACAACTGTTAACGAAACCGGTTATTTAAGAGTGAAGGCACATAGTTATTATCAACTTGTACAGAACGAACTGATGACTTTTAATCGATTTCTGCGCCGCAATAGATAAAATCAGAAAACCAGTTTGATAAGATATCAGTGTGGTAATATTAGATAAAAAGATAAAGCTCTCGGCAGTAATCGACCAATCCCTAAGGCATGCAGAATCAAATTGACTTCAACACACATCGCTAAGGCGAACGAATGAACATATGACGAACAAAATTCCAGACAACTCTGGTACTAATATGCCAGCCCTTGAGTTATATCAGGACCAGTTAGCGCGGATTGCGAACCAGCCGCTGATACAGTTTCCATTGCACGCCTACTTTTATCCAGTATGCTGCATGCACCCCAATATAAGATGTGATGAAATAGTAATATGTAAGAGTAAATACGAACATTTCCAGCGCAATAACTAATTGTATGTGTCACGACGCAACCAAATGACAGACATCAAATTCTTCAACACGCACTTTTCCAATTGCTCAAAAGAATTTTGTGCGGGGTTAGCCTGTCAGCCGAGAATGATAAGAATCTGTTGTTTTATACTGTTAGTATTATGCAAGCATAATATTACAAGCAGTAATGCAAATTTTCGAATTCTACTACCATATTGCCAGGTGCGGGTAGTACAGTGATAGAAATGCGAATGATTAATATGAGCAAAGCTTGGTTCGAGTGCGTCCTAAGCTAATCCAGCCTTCTAATCTGTTCAAATCAGGAAATTGTTAGCAGAACTGTTTAGGATGAGCTCTTGACAATCTATAAAGTTTAGAGACTAGCTGTGATGAAGACACAGCATCGAGTTATACAGCTGTGCCAAGATTCCGTGGAGAAGCTACTCAACTAGAATTTACGATCATTCATAACGAAGACCAGAAAATCGTCAAATATCGACTGAACCAATATGTAAACGAGAAGACCTTCACGTATGATGAATGTGAGGAAATGAATGAGGTGAAAATATTATCGTAATCCGTATCATATGTGAGGTCCAGTCATGAAAAAAGTTTAAATAGGAGCTTTGGAATGATGATTCAGTACATCACAGAAAGAATTTTTAACAACTAGCCAGCTCATCAGAGCCTAGCACCTCTGTTGCTTAGTTCATTATCTGAGTTTGGATTTATCTATGGGTTCGGCTGGCACTTGGGAATTATTGTCTTCTTCATCAATGCAGCTGAATGCTAGTAGAATTGATTTTGCCTGGTTTTGTGAGACAGCTCTGCTATATAGCGTTGCTGGGTATTCACAGCAGGCAGCCATAAGCCTTTGTCAATCAGAAGCTAATACCTGGCAAGTCTGGTACCAAATTGTCACCCCGGTGGGGTGAAATGTTTGGTTGACTCAAGGGACGATCCAAAAAATATGCTTGTGCTGCTTCATTAAGCATTGTCTTCCGCGTCAAGCTTAGATTACAGGAGTGGGGAACAGAAGAGTTTCGTAATAATCACACTTTTCTTCTTCCCAATCGTACCAAAAAATGCATAAACAGTTATTTACATGGATTAGTCTCTACGTCTCAATAAATACGAATGACATCAAGAAAAACAGCAAAGATGAAAATACGATGGTGATAACGGATCTAGGCTAAGTTGTAAAGGATTGGCAATAGATCGCTTAATAGAAGCACGTAGCTCTGCGACTTTTCAATCCTCCAAATAAACGACTTTTGCAATGACCTGCTTCTATTTCCAGGACATACCACTAACACTGTGCCATTGCAAAAACAGCAGTAATTACTTTGTATTATAATCACAATTTTTCAGTCCCAGTAACCACATAACAAACTTTAGTGGCCCCGCACAGGTACATTACTTTTGCCCACTTTTCTCTTACCTTCCAAAAGTTCATGAACAACACTAGAATTGAATATAGAGACCGTACTTTTCCACTTTTCCTTCTGAAACTATGGCTTTTTATCTAATTGGGAAACCTTAGCGATTTACCACAAAGGTTGTTGCTATACTTGAAAAGTAAGTCAGAAATTATGAATTTAAACAACATAAGTGACTTCGACATGAAATGCACCACGAGGGAGATAAAAGTACTTGAGGAAAAAAACCACAACGTATTCGACGTTAGAAAAAACGAGAAACGCAAACCTCTATTATAAAACCTATCTGGACCTTTTAAGTCAGCATAAGGAACTCTTCAAAAACGCCAACCATTATGTAAATCTGTCTCGGGAGGACCACAATTCAATAGAGAACTTAAGGTGTTCAGTCTCACCTTCGAAACGCCATCGTTTGCTTTCGCCACGCCCGTCGATGACGGATCGATCGTGTGACAGCACTCGACTCGGTGAAACCACACGACTCTCACACTCACGATATCTCTACTTCCCGACGACAGTGAATTACTTCCGAATCAGCTTGAGAATAACAAAAATGATCCTGAGACATGAGCAAGACCTCAGGTCAACTTCCCGGGAAGGTCAATCGTGGGTTCAACGCTCAGCTGAGGTACTGAGCTCTGCACATGCCTCAGCACCATTGTGGTTGTATTCACTGTAATAACCTTCCGTGAGAAAAAAACTAATAGGCAGTGAATAGAAGTTAAACACTGTCATCGTTAGGATATGTATGTCACAATAATATCCAAGAGGGGGTGATACCCGTAATTAGTGATGCCATTGATCAAGAAGCAAAGGCGTTAGTTCGATGCTCGCCCAACCTTCTGCAATCCACGTAGAAACGTCTTAGCTCAACCATCTATAAGATAGTAACAAGAACTGACTCGATCAGCGTTCTACAACTTTCGTAAAGAAAACGAAATTCTCAAGCAGCAGCTAAAACAACATGCGAAATGTTCGAAGACCACTGTAGACGATTAATGTGAGGTCAACGAATCGAATCCAAGAAATACTGGGATCCGCACAGTAGATGATGACGAGTCAAAAATGAATAAAAAAACACCTAGACATTTTTTCTACTGTCAAATAAAGGATAATTTTGGAGTGTAGAGAACGTAACGTGGCCAGAAACTAGACTTGAGTTAGTTATCAATCCAAGTTTAGCGGGATCTGAGTAACCTCATCGCTACTTCAAGTTTTTTTCTCTCTTAAAGAACAACGCCTGTGACAAGTGGAATTGATTGTAATAAAGAACAACGATTAACACCTAATAACGGACAACATGTATTGAATACAACTGAATTGTATTGAATACTTAACCGAAAACCTTGTGCCCTTCAACTTTAAACAAACATATCTCAGCTCATAGTCAAAGATATTACTTGGCATAAAGACCGTTAGAATCTATAAATATCCGCGAACAAGAAGGAAGTTTTATCCTATAACGATAAATACACCGATTTTTTTTCCTTTTGAACACAAAGTATTTATTTCCAATTTTCATTGCCCGAACTCATGCTCACATTTGGAACACCTGAGGCGATTAAACATTCGTCATATTGTACAACACGCCAGGATTGTGTACCACAATGTGTCTTGATATTTGCTTTCAAGTTTTCGTGGATTTGAACTTCAAATAGATTTAAAATCATCAAAACATTCCAGAATAATCATCTCTATTGCAGCAGCGATACAGCAAAACCTCTTCACTTCTATAAGACTATCAAGTTCTAAAGTGAACTACCCTATCTATTACGAAATTACTGACAGCAATCAAAGAAAACCATCATCGAGCGTTTTGGGTCAAAGAAACAAGGATATTTTATCATAAAGTTCATTTATTGAGTTGAATCATCCGTCGATATGATTCAATATTGACACAATTGGTAAATACGTTTGCAATATTTCCTAAATTTTTTTCTTCCCAAAAATGAAAGTAAGAATTCAAAACACGGAAACAAAATCAACTTGTAAATAAAAACGTTCCCTATAACTACCTAATTCCACGGACATAGTTCATACTTCGGAACATAGATCGACTCCGAATAATTCGTTCTTTCCAAAAACTCAGGACGATTGAGTGCAAAGTGTTAAATTGACACAAACTCCACCTTTTTCTCGGGTAATAACGAAATTCTCCCGACTGTTTACTGCCTCATCAGGGCCGGAAGGTGTTCCTGGGTACCGGGCTGCGACGTGCAACGGGGGATTCATCGCCCAGGAGGGTCTCCCAAGCTGACGAGTGCGACGCTTCCATTAGGAAGCCCAACCATGAGTAACCCAATACCAGGACCTACCACCTATCAAACTAGTCGCATGTTGGCAAATCCCACTCTGATCCATAAGGGCGGCGACTGCTTGTGGTGATGAGGACCTGGACAAACTTTAGCTAGTCTAACCTCGAGACTCCAAAGAAGCACAATAGCTAAATCAACAAAACCCCGAAAAAGTGGAAATTTTGCTGGGGCCCGCACAACCAGTGAGGATAGGCTATCCAAGGGTTTAAGTGTGTTCAATAACGGAATTGAAAACTTAACTTGATGATGACACATGATATGAGTTACAATAACAGAAAGGAAACAATTGTAATAGTAATAAAAAAAATAAAAAATAAAAATAATAATGAAATAAGTAATAAAATAAAAAAATAATAATGGTTATTTTTAAGTTCCTTCTCTGAGCAAGAAAATTAAACAAAATTCTTACCGAGATCCACTCATACTCAGCTCTTCAGCGGCATCATGGAACTCTTCCTCCATGTCACTATACGCAGAAACTGTAAACTATGTCGATATTGATAAAAGTAGAACTTATCTAAAACTACCGGAAATTTCGTAATAGTACAGGACGTTGGATATCATATGCTAAAGCAAAATTCCAGGAATCGTAACAAATTTAACGTTAGAAAGCCTTTTTAGCAAAAAACTACTCACGAGGAGGGTTGAAATTGTTAGTGTCACCAAGAGTAGCAGCTCTCTCTAAGCTCGAATGTTGCTTTGCTAGTGTCTCTAACTGTTCCTAAAGTGCTTTGCTCACATGGTTTTGTATTGATTACATTCGTTTGTTAACCATTCATAGCTCTCACATAAATTCTTGTTGAAGCAAGTAAAGACACATTATCACTGAATATTCATGAGAACATTTTTCTATATCGTGACACGCTCGTAGTGATTTTTATAAGAATAACATTATACTTTTTGTCCTGGTTCTTAATATGACCGTATATTTATCTCCAATAGGCCTAAATTATGTCACTGTTATAACAGCAGTAATTGAAACGCCTAATATTCTGCCCAACAGTTGGATGACGTTTATTTTTCGCTGTACGTCTTTAAAATAGGGAAATAATAGAAGTAGAAGAAATAAAATAGAAATAGAGAGAAGATTCACTTACAAACAAACTAAACGTTTCCAAATTTCTTAGGCACAGCTAACATAATCTGGCTTAATAACCGATATTCTGGATGCTCTTGAAATAAAAAATAACTCAAAAAATATGAGAGTAATTTGCAAACCTGTAATACAAGCTTCTCACGTTGTTCACTGGCCACCACTTTACCCATCCGCCGGGAGCCTCGGTCGGAGAGTTCCACAAACTCTTCAGCTGCTTTTAATAGTGCGCTAGTCGTAATCTGCATATATTTATTTCTCATTTCTCTGTAGGCTTATTACTAAATCTTCGGCATTCGAATTGAACTTCAGATAATTCTCTTAGAAATCTAGACTCAAATTACAAGGTACAATTACAAATTCAATCACATTAAACATCACGCGACCACTGTTTCCGTTCCAAAACAAATAAATGTTGGGAAAACGATGGCAATCAATCGACCATTGAAAAAAGCTAACACACTTTGAGCAATGCTGCCCTTTCCGATAGCGTCTTTCTGTCTATTTCCGACTCGCTCACACAACGAATCAGTTCGTCGCCATGTTTATCTAGAAAATCAAGTTTTAAATTTAAAAAAAAGGAATTGAATCACAAACATAGACACCCACGAAGTTCGAAGTTCGTCTTCGAAAACACTCTAGCAATTCTGTCAAGTGCTAGGTATCCTTTAGCTCCACTAGAGTTTTGGCAATTTTAATATCATCTCTTGAAAAGAATAGCATCTTTGGGCATATGTCCATTCCATTGTTTCTAGTGCGAATCTCCTCTCAGACCAACCAGTACTTTTCACTCTTTTATATGACCCGTCTTCACATCTACTGTGCGGATTCCAACACTTGCATTCGATTGGATTTGTCGCACCTATCGTCCACAAAGATCTTCGAACTTTTCACATATGGGTTCAACTTGTGCTTGACAACTGCTGTCTTCTCTACGAATATCGTTGAATGCTGCTCTAGTCAATTCTCCCTGAGGTCCCAGGATAGCCAGACTAGAGCTTTTACACTTGGATTGCAAAGAGTGAGCTATTCCCAGACAAATCTGGTACCAATTCCCTAACTTCGGAGAAATGAAGGCCTAGTCAGTACGTTGGAGTGTTGAATCAGCACGGCGCTCGTAATTAACGGCACCACTACCAACGTGATAACCACCCGTAATCCTTCTTTAAGCCTAAGAAATGTTACGATACCCTTTGAAACTTAATGTTCTCTTAACACTATTTGTATGTGTGATGTACGCAAATGACGACTAATATGATGCAGCAACACTGAGAATTGACATAAGGCAACACGAGGTTGTTAGAATGACTTTTATTCGATATTGACTATTGTACCCAGTATTTTGAGGATCAACTTTAGCAAAACATGCTGATTTTAATGCTCTTCTGTGGCTATTATACCTGTTATACACAAACGGAAGTGCTAAAGTGCTTAAAACTGAAGAATGACAACCAATGTATAAAGTTAAATTGTTGGAAACCTAACGAAAACTGGATTTGATCAATAAAACGCCTTGTTGAAAACATTTTTTGAATAGCTGTCAAATGTGTGAGCACAGTAATATAGGAGAGGAATCCACTAACTTTCCACTGCAAATAGACTTTTCTAAAGTCCAGAAAACATCGACAACTCAAATAAGATTTAAATAGAAGTTTTGTTCAAGAACGGTCATTCTACCTTCGATAAGGTTTATCTAATGGGACTTTCATTTACATTGCAACAATCACTTTTGCTAAATTATTCAAGGAATGGAACGGTGTAGAGAGAAATCGGTGGCACTTACTGAGCAACAACCTAACATTACGACGGTAATTTGTTCGTAATTGCCTGTACAACTGCTTATCCATAACACAAAACTGCATAGTTTGCATTAACGGAAGAGGTGGAGAACGCATGAGCTCGGGTACAGCGTACCCGATCAATTGTTTGAACGTGCGAGGAAAAATATATTGGCAAGATGACTAGGCGATACTGTTCGGACAAAAAAGAATACGTGAGTGAAAAAGTTAAGGTTAGTCAAATTACTCCATACGTATACACAGAGCATGAAAATATAGTGGAGAACACTTTGAAGTTAACGCTACGAATCGCAAGAATTCGAAAACGTCGGCGCGCAAAACTCCTCAGGTGTCTTGGGTCGACTCCAAAAACCCAAACATATACCGCAGGTAAATGGCTCATAATTATACGTGACCTCGTCCAATACCGCAAGTTAAGAACTTGATCATAGAATTTTTGTTGATCAGCATGTTATTATCAGAATGGAAAGGTGGAAATGCGGTTTGTGTTTATAAAAATGTTGTTTACGAAGTCATTCGCCAAAAAAGGTAAAATGCACCATGCAAAATTGGTCACTGTAGAATAAAAGCCATATTAGCCACCCTGTATCAGATCATCACGGACGCCGTATTGATCACTGCTGATGTGAACATGGCGTTAAGTCAGCCATGGAAATACTAAAAAGAAATTGAGCATTCTACGCACAAAAAAAGAAGTACTTCTTATTGTGCCGCGAATGCGCTGCTCAAGTCTAAAGTTCCTGCCATACTAAGTGACCTGAATATTGATGTTCTAGTTAGAATAGTAATACTCCTGGACATCAGATAGCAATGTCTAGCTTGTGTTATCTAAACTGCGCCAACATTGGCTGTTGTTCTATATTGATCTGCTTCTCAGTTCACTAGCCCGTAAGACCATGCACATGAAAGAAGCTCAACACATAAGCATTTGTCGAAGTCTTTTTTCATTTGAATCATAAATAAAACTTCTCAATAGTTGACCTTCATTTCCTCATCTTTTAAGAAGTAAACAATGCGATTTCGACTGCAGCTTCAGCTTGGTTCAATGCCGAAGCTGATGGCACCGTTAGGGTAGAAAACTGGCTCAGAGAAAGGTATAGCAATGGTGCAGTCAGTAACACATGAGCCCTCAGAAAGGGTATTCGCGGGTTTGAAGCGCACGTGAGGTTCCCAGTTTTCTTCATATGTATTTAGGATCATTGTAGTTCTACTTCGCATAAAACTTAATCTAGTCATTATGAAGAAAAATGTGGCAGTTCAGTGCTCTCATTCAATACCGGCTATAGCGCTCTATATTCTTGTTGGGCAAACACGATGTGCTACTTTATTATTTATTCCGGCAAAGCTGACGTCTCGGCACTATCGCCTTCTTCAAAGTCTGGAAGGGTATATTCTTACGCCATTTATTATATCAGACGCTTCATTAACACAAACAGAAAGATAGAACTCGAATGGTAATCGACCATGAACACGAAATCGAACACGACCAACAGCTTCTCGAAAGACCAGTTTTTTACCTGCCTTCGACTGAGAAAGAACACCCGGTTAGAGTTATTTGATCAATGCCGAAGTTAATAGATCGTGGGAATCGACTACAGCATTTCGACGATGTAGAAATCAATACTATGGTGGTCTATCACATAAATGAAAAACGAAAAATGTTGGAACAAGATCATATGGGTAAAATATTAACACTGAAATCATGCTACTAACCTAGTATACGAGAAGTCGTTTGCAAATCGTTGAGCTTCCGTAGCAATTCCTTATGAGTTTTCTGCAGAACAGCAATGCGAGACTCTCCAGTTCCGACATGTGCATCTTCGTCTTCATCTTAAACAAACGAACTCTTTATATTGTTACCAGTTTAATATAATATGAAGAAATAAAGTGTAAAGAGCAAAAGTTAAAAAATAAGGAAAATAAGTTTCGCAGTTAATAACGGTTGATAAGAGTGTAGGATTAATAACTTCAGGTTAAATACTAAAAATCTTCATATTTATGATTCCAAAGAGACTTTATTTCTATGACAATATTTCTCTAAGAAAGTAAATGGACGGAACATGAAAGAAATATTTGGAGAATCTTCTATGAAGAATCTAACAGTAAGGAGATTAAGATGAATTCGGTTTATATTTCTGGATTTCAGGAAAAACAAACAGGCCAAAAATTCAAATTCAGAAGTCCCGGTTGATCTTCTTATACCGGAAGTCCAGATAAAGAAAATGGTAAGGAAATCTCACCGCTTTCTGCCCGTTTTATAGCTTTATGACGCGAATATTCCAATGCACTTAACCACTTTTGCCTTTCAACATCATTGCCGGCTTTCAAATGAAAAGTCTGCGATGATGCCGATATGACAATATTGCTGGTTATCTAAAATAAAAATTGTACGATTATAGCTTGGCATAAAATTAAACACTAAGTTGCAAGATGATAAGTATACGCTCTCGCAAAATCCTATGTAGTTGCCCAAGGGAAACCCATTGCGAAGCGGCTAAATTCCCAGAACAGGGTCAACACATTTTTATCACAAGTGGAAGATAACATTATCCCTTCCTCGTTCATTTTTCATTTTATTTTTACATCCCCTATAATCACATCGGCTGTGTGGATCTCCGCACTCCCTGCATTCGATTAATTTCCTCCCATTAACCATCTACGAACGTCTTCGAACTTTTCGCATATGGATTCAGCTATTGCGTGAAAATTGATGACTACTTTATGAATATCACTGAACACAGCTCCAGTCGATTCTCACTAAAGCCCTGGGATGACTGGGCTAAAGTGTTCCCACATGGATTGTAAAGAGATGACTATTCCCGGACAAATCTGGCTCCAATTCCCCGAGCAAAGAGTAATGATAGGCTTGGTAAGCTCGGAGCGGTATCGAACCGGCATGGCGTTTATCATGAACGCCATCACAATCACTGCACCTGTCCAGCCCTTACGACCGCAGAAAAAATATTCAAAATAGTCACTCTTCCACTCGTTCTGAAAATGAGCCATAATCAGCACTTAGTGTCAGAAGCTAGTTTTTCGCAAATGATAATTTACGATTACTAGAATACTTCCGGAGTTGGAAGTGTAAACAGCTCATGGAAGGAACCTATCTACTTAATAATAGGCATGTTTCTTTAAAGCTGTTACTTCATTTTTAAACTTCTTTTGAATTTAAATTTCCAAAAAAGTAGAACAAAACATAAGTTTTTTTCCAAACAAAGACTTGGCCGCCACAACCTAAACAGCTTATTTAGGGACATCATCGTGTTCTAACAGGAAAAAACCGTTCGCCCAAATGCTTTCATTTTCGAAATACCGGGTTGGACCACTAAAAGTCATAAAAGTAGCATGTCAGGGCTCCTTCAACACAGGACTTCGCCTTAGTGGAATACGAGACCTTGTATGCTATTAGTAAAGAACTACATATTCTTAGTGAAATCTATTTCAATTAATAAAATTCATTCAAGCGGTGACATGTTAGCTCGAAGTTGAAAGCTACCGCTATCTACGCACCGTGTGAGTGGAAATCAACTCATATCGGACTTTAAGTGTTAAATTCTCACTTCAAACATCAGAACAGAAAATATATAGAGACAAGAGAGGGAGAGAGAGAGAGAGAGAGAGAGATGTAAACAAAAGAAAAACAAAAAAGCGACAAACCAACTTTATCAGACAGAATACGCGCTTCTTGAAGATTGATGCTTCCTCGACAAGCCTGCCCTACCTCACTCGGACTTCTAGGAAAGAGTGTATTTCCTATTGAGAAGTGGAAAAGTAGAATAAGTTAAAAATGCTAAACTATTTTTAACGTCAACCTAACTTTTCTCCATTAATCTAGTAACAAGCTAACATCATTTTCATTACATCTCATAGAGTATGAAAGTTAGAATGTAGTTACGATATTTTGTCACTTAACACTCAAGGACTAAGTGTAGAGCAACAGTCCGATATTTTATAATTTTAGTACTTGTATTACAATATGATAGCACATTGTTTTAAATCGATAGAAATACTAGCACGTTTTCTTTGCGAAATAATAAAACCTACAAGAAGAAAAACAAACTTGGACGAAGGTTAATATTGAAAACTCGGAGCGAAAACCATAAGGTAACGTGTCCCATGTACTGAACACTCATAACTAACATATTACCAGGTATAATATTAGCGCTCTAATGAACCAGCACAAATTTTTATCCCCTCCTTATTTCTGGCGTCTCAACGAACTTAGGCCATTTGGCAATCGTTTGGCTGTTTGTTCAATTCACAGGTGAAATGCAACCACAATGCAATATTTACATAAGAACGAATATGTTAGAGTATTAAACTTCATAAAACTATGCTTCTTGAACTATTGGAAAAGCGTCGAACGTTATCGTGTAATTTATCAACACACATTTATCAATGAATAGACTGAAAATCAATACCAGAAGAGAAATTTAAGTGCAAGTGCCGAACAAACCCAATCAAAGTCATGGACCTTTACCGACTTACGGGATTCCGGTGATGGTGGATCTGGTGTAGACCTCGGCATCAGTGCTGATCTTTCTTATTCTTCGTGATAGTGGGAAGTAACAGGCGGTAATTCGTTTACGAGCCTTATGAAACCGTCGACGAAGGCTTGCCATATGTTCACTTTCACTGTAATTGTGCGAGTAGCGTCGTTATCAGTTGACGCTGCTTCTCAACGCTCACCACTAGTAGGAAACAACTGCCGAAAACCACGACCACTTTCCTCCGGTGAAGAGAAACTCTTCACGATACTCTGGAAGAAAATCTCACTAGGTGACATCTCTAGAGACAAACGTTCGTTCAGAATATCAGCCGAATGCGCATCAAATTCATGTGTACGAATTACATTAAAAACTACAATGAGGCACAATGTGAGTCACCGATGCTAAACATACGAGCGCACTAACACACGGAAATCGAATAATCGATTGAATTCGCAATCACTGAATCATTCAGCTCGTGAATTTGGCAACCAATTGTTGCATAAAGTCGTCCACTATCTCTACAACGATCGTTCCTCGATGTTACTTGGGCGTTCGTCTTTGTGAAAAGGTGGAATGTAGCAGCACAAGAACTTGTTGTTGAAGCACATACACACACATATACACAGATAACCTGTTCTGGATTGATACGACGCTGAATTGGGGAACCGTAAACGATGAAACGCTATCGCTAACGGCAAAACAATACCGTCATAACCGACCAAAATCTTGCAGACAAACAAACATAGATGGTTCAATTCTAGTGGCAGCTCCACAGTTTGTTACAACCGAAGACCCCACGACTGAAGCGAAATGTAGGCCAAGAAGACACAACAACTATGGAACCGTTTTTAAAACTCCTAAATTTATTAGACTAGCCTTAAAAAGAAAAACTGGGTGAAAATAAAAACATCCAACGAGGTAAGTAAGACACTTAAGGATGTTTACTATTTTGAACCTGAAATCTGACTATAAATCACTTACATCATTCGTTTATTGATTTTGGGTTGAATTCTATGTTCAAATCGCACTCGACCATGAAATAAAACAATCATTAACATCTACATTACCTACCTATAATAACTAAGTACAGCGTTTGAATCGAGAACGAACCACCTTTGTCGATATCCTTTTAAATAGTTTGTCCATTTATTAAGCCATCCGGACTTTTCTTCACTGAAATACAACAATAAAACTCGTTTAAGATCTAAAAAAAACTCAAATTCTACTGAGCTGGCGACCCAATAGATAAAAACCCGAGACGTTCATTTCCAGATATGATTAATTTCAAACAAGCCGCCGAAAAAACTTCCATCCAAATTGATACTATGACCATTTATAGTCATGAAACATAAATCACCTAAGGCATAGGCATAACAGGCAGCTACAAGTACCTCCCAATTTGGGAAACGTCATCATCAGTTGAGATGCGAGTAATGTTTCTACTACCAAATACGCTCAAACGAACATTGTTAACACTATACATGCCTTCCTTATTAAGCTAGCTCCACAATGATGCGCATTAGATTTGATGCAAGCATAAAACCTTAAAAACCAGAACTCACACAGCTGTATCCTGAAGATCCAGCGAAGCTGGCGAACACCCTGATGCTCGAGTAGAAGACGTGATCATGGATCGATGAACAGTTTGAGACTTTTTACTGAAGCGCTTCTGTTTACTTCGCCTACGAAATAGTCGTTTACGAGTCGTATAAGCATTCCACCATGACGTTCCTGCAACCATTTCCACTGCAGGATGATGGAAGTGTTGTGCTTGCTATCAATACTTGCAGTGAAGGATGGAAGGACAGTTGATGGATTGATCCAATCAATACTGAAGATACTGGTCGTACGATCAGAAAAGACTAGGAACTATATAGCGATCGACTCAGAACTCTGTCAGCGGACACACAGTGGGCGATATCGAAGGCGACAGTGAATCCCAATATGGGAATTGATAGACCGTCTGACGCACTTTCGGAACACTCAACAATGATAATGAATAAACAGTCACACATGTTTACTCTTTTCAGAACAGATGTATCTGTGGCACAGAACTAAAAAATGATGGCTGATTGCACTGCCATATGTGAAGTGACATATGTGACATGTGAAGGTGTAGTGATAGGAGCCACAAACACGATTCCATGGAAGAGAAACAGCTCTTTTAGGTTCCCATTGAATGACTCTGAAGTAATGGCTCTGAATTCCTTAGCTATTTATCAACAGTATGAGTTCCTTATTTGAAAACAAAAACGTATTGATATCTAAAGACCAAAGGCGTACAACTACCGCAACTCTACTAAGGATTCCTGTAAAAATTATCGATCAAATCAAATGACAACTAAAAAAGAATTTTATCAACAAGAAAAAATATATGTGAACAAGATAAAAAACGATTGGCATAAAAAAGAAGTTTGTTCAAGCAAAATATATCCACCACTAGAACAGTTCGTGTAATCTGAAATTTTACTTTTGTAACAGCTTTTTAGAAGAAATCGTTAACTTCTAAGCTCTCAAAGGTTAAGTACAGGACCTTTGGTTCGAAACACATACTCTTATATGAAAGGAAGAGCTACATTCCCCATAAGAAAACAAAAAGTATTCAACTGATATCAGTAGTATTGATAGAAGAACAGTCTAAGAATTACAGATAGAAGAAAAATACCGTACAGTAATGATATAGGAAAAACCTATTGACTAAAAACCCGAATTTATCTAGCTTACCTGTAATAAACTCATTCTAGAAACGATCTGCCTAAATATACAATCACCAGAGAAACGTTTAGTATAGGGGCTAGAGGCACCCGTCGATACACATAGGAATGATCCCGCACCCCAGGCTCACCAAGCCCTCCATCACTCCGGTTCGGCAGATTGGTACCCGACCCACCTGGGAGGATAGCAGCACTGACTCGATACATGGACAGCCCACAGCGAGTCGCTACACAGGCCAGATATGGACTCAATCACCTTTACGATTCTACGAATGGCGTCGAATGCGAGGTGCATCCCTTAGGGATTGATCGACGTCGACGCCAAGAGTTTTATCCTTTATAATCATATCATACATCTTCCATACTAGGAAAAACCAAAATACCAAAATTATCAAAACCAGTTACAAACTGGGTATAGAAAAGCATAACAAATACTGTATCCAGATAAGACAAAAGATTAACAGCGATGACCATGTATGTATATACATATATGTATATATATACATATGTACATATATACACATACATGTGTAGATATACACATACGTGTGCATATATATATGCACATATATGTGAATATATATGTATACATACATACATATACATATATATATATATAAAGCTTACCGCCTCATCGTCGCTGGGAAGTGTTCCTGGGTGTCGGACTGCGATGTACAGCGGGAGGATTCGTCCCACCAACAGGGTGTCCCAAGCCGGGAAGGAGTCCAGTGTTTCCATCAGGAAGCCTAGCTATGAGTAAACCAATATCAGGATCCATCACCGTCCTGGTATCAAAGTCGCATGGTGGCAAACCTCCCTCTGCTCCACAAGGGTGGCGACTGCCTGTAGTGATGACCTGGGACAGACCTTGGCCAGGCTGACCTCGGGATTCCTGGGAAGCACAATGGCTGAACCAGCAAATCTCCAAAAAATGGTGATTATGCTGGGGTCCGCACAACCGGTGAGGACGGCCCGTTCAAGTATAAAGCTCAAGTATGCATTATATATACATATATATATATATATATATATATATAATTTATATATATATATATATATATACGTATATATGGAAAATATCGTGAACATTATGGAAATGGGCCAAGTGAATGATAGTGACAAAGGACAATCTCAATAATCTTCACGAATTTACGTTACGTGATTCCACGTTAAGTTTCGTAAAAACCACACCATTTATCACTTTTTGAGCGCAACTATCAACTCACTAATGATCAGCATTCCTCTAGTTTTCTGGAAAATCCAGAAACCTTTAATACTGGTTAACTCGCAATCCTTAAATGAAGTGCTGTTACCATGATATCAATATTTTGGGACGGAAAAAAGTTCTCCTTTACAAAAACAGGTTCTGACCAGCGGACACAAACCACTAATAGTGCTAACTTAAGGACTGGTCTAACAGCTTATATAGTACGTATAAGTTATTCAAATAAAAGTCAAGTCCCGACTCAATGGTCTCACCTTGAAATACCTGCCAAATAGTCCTTAACAGAACTGAAAAAAGAGGAAAAGTTATAAAAGATGAATTCCTCGACCATAACAAAACGGTTCTCGAAACACAAGTTGCTGCCCAGCATTTGGATTTCGATAGACAAGTTTTGGCACAAACTTCATGAAGAAACAAGTTTCGCCAACTAAAGCTCTTCTGGAAAAACTCGAAAAACAACAACAACAATAGCTACAACAATTCTACGAAAACTGAGTGCTTGGCCTGTTCATTGCTTAAGTAGATTGTGTTAACTTCCTGAAGTTCCTTGGATCCTAGTAAAGCCGCAGTGAGTCGGAAATCGGATGAATCAAAAGTAATAAGCAGTAATACTTCAAAAGCGTTGAAATTTTATGTTATCACACAACGTTTATGTGATTTAGCACAGCACCCCAATATTGATTGTCGGGAGGTTGCCCCCAATCCACAAAACACATGCACCCACATGGGCGAATGAAAACATTCTGGATGATCCATAATTACTCATAAAGCCAACGAAAACTGCAAATAGAGGAAGTAGACCAACGAAAGATCTATTCAAAAGATGATTCTCAAAAGAAATGTCTAGTGAAAGTTTTAGAGCACTCAAGAAAATCTCAGAAACTTGAAAGTTTAGAAATGAAGCGATAGCAAGCAAACGGCTTTTTCTTCTTATTTCAGGATGACGAATTAAATAAAAGTGCTAACATATCCAGTTCCTATGAATAGATTGGAACAACACGAATTCAGGTTGATCGAGAGATAAGAGATGAAATGGACAGATATCGAATGCAGCGAGACGGGAGATCCAGGAAATAAAGTGGAATTCTCGCGTGAACAGCTGAATTGATAGGAAAAAAAACAGGAAAAAAACTGGAAACTCCCCAAGGAATACTAGTAAGGGTTACATTAAAGTACTGAAATCTATGGCATTTACTCTCCTAGAGCTGGATACTTGGACGGGCTCATCTTCACTGATTATGGGGGCCTCAGCATACCTTCCATGTCTTCGGCCGCTAGCCGGCCAACTTATGCTGTGTATTTGTTAAGCCGCTATAGGCTTACCATTTCTCAGTCGTTATTTTTCTGGCCTATAATCTCTTAGGCAATGGTGGCACCCATCGATGCTCAAACTTCACGTTGCAGACATATCGTTATGCAAGGGCAGCCGCTTGACCGTGTTCCGCAGGTGTCTCATCCCGTTCGTAGTCACTTCCACCATCGATGCTTAGGTAACTTGCTATCCTCATCGATTAATATGCAAGTGCACCTAGCCGCTGTACATATGATCTCTAGCTTAGCTTAATGCAGGGCTCGTCTGCATCTCACTCTTCTGTTGTTCTAGCCCTCGGCATCTGGGCCACTGTACGTGCCAGTGCGGGCGCCATAGTTCGTATCCCTTACTTGTCATTGTTATCAAGTTGCTGTTATCACAGTACTAATGCTGTAATAGTATTATTTACCATACAGTTATGCCTTTGTAAGCCTCACTTTAATAGTAGGTACAACACCTCATAGCCTCGAACTTGCCTTATTTGTGTACCAGTAGTTCTCCGTCCAAGTTTGAGGTATTGCCCTGTGACAACTACGAAAAGTCCCGAGTGGCATTTTTCTCACGAAGTCGAGCATTTTGGTAAAGGCTAGTGATTATTCGGTGCCGAGAAGTGACTCAAAGGCCTATTTTCAACTTGCAAACTGCATTAGTTGGGTTTCTTCAAAGAAATGTTCTCATTTTCGGATTGGATGGCCTTGCTGGGGATGATACCATTCATACATAGGAGTGGACTCTCAGGAATACACTCCAGCCAAAATGAAGCGGCAAACAATTTGGAAACGTTTATATAATAGTAGTAAATAGGAACAAAAAAACTGTAAAAATTGGCGAAAGTCATAATGATTGAAATTTGCATGTATATCATCTGCGGAACAGTTTGAAGAAGTTGTTTTCACTTGGGTAGTTCTGGGTAAAAACGTCACGACGTCACCTTTTTATCGTTGTATACTGTTGGCGAAAGGGCAGACACGAGACACTAGGGCTTCCAGCACAAGTTGTCGCCGTCAGCGATCTCATTTCACATTACTTGGTACTTGGATACTTAAATACTTGGGCGGCCAGTTCTTACTGGTTGTGCCTGCTCCAGCACAATTTACATTTGCTGGTTTAGCCATGGTGTTTCCCTGGAGTCCCGAGGTCAGCCTGGTCAAAGTCTGCCCAGGTCGTGTTCCCCACAGAGAGTCGCCGTGTCTGTGGATCAGAGGGATATTTGCCACCATGCGACTAGTTTGATACCAGCACGGTGGTGGATCTCTCCATTAGTTTACTCTTGCCTTGGCTTCCTGATGGAAACGCCGGACTTATTCTCAACTTGAGATGGCCTTCTGAGTGGATGAATCCCCCTGCCATACGTCGCAGCTCGACACCCAGGAACACTTCCCAGACACGATGAGGTGGTAAACAGTTGGGAAGAAACTGAAGCACTAGAGTTTGCAAAATTCTAAAAGGCAGCAACAGGTTGCAACACAGTACAGCAAAGCAAAGTTATGTAATCGCCTTAAAAACGACATACTAAGAATTCAGTTAACTATTCAGCAGAAGAAAAAGCACTTTACACAAGACTGGAATGAAACTGGTGATCTTTTCCTCACAACAGTATTGGCATCATCACACTGTCTCAAAACTTCAGCGGAAGGCCACACAGTGCTCTTATGCTAAGGCGTAGAACAAATTGAAGGTAAGTACCAATCTTTCACAAAAATGCAATAAAAATAAAAAAGGATTAAGCTCTCGGCTTTGATCTATCTCTTAGGGATGTGCCATGTGTTCGACTCCATTGAGCATCTTCTGGAGGTGATTTAATGCATATCTGGCATTTACAATCCTTTGTAGTGGCCAACCGAAGTACTGCGCCAGTGCTGGTATCTTCCTAGACAAGTCTGGTTCTAATTTCCTGACCCTGGAGGCGTGGAGGGCTTGGTGGACCAGTGGCGCGGGAGTCGATCCCGTGTGTATTGCCGGGCGCCTCCGACCACTTCGCTAAATGTGCCGTTACAAAAGCGTGAATAAAGCTAAACCTAATACGTCCCGTAAGAAATAATCTGCCTCCTAACATGCAAAGCACCAATCGTGCCATACTTAGACTTCCTGACATAAGTGTTAGTTATTGTTGAGCACGCCCTAAATCCCAGCAAACAAAAAAATAAAGAATATTCTGACCCTAAGGACCTAAGAACATAAGGCGACAAAAATCACTGGAACTATACCAAGAACAAAGAAACCGCTCACAATGTAATGAATATCAAATCAGAAGTAAATAGTGGTAAAACCTGCTTCTTCTTCAATAACTTTAACCACGTGACAGAGCAGGCAAAACCTCCACAAAACTAACCATAATCGGCTCCAAACGAACCTGTATCCTCCCTAATAAATGATGTTCGAACTAAGCAATAAAAGCCATAGACTACAAAATAAAAACTATTAACAGCACCACCATTAGAGAGACCATTAACTACAAGACCTCGTAACAGTTCACCGCCTCATCGTGGATGGTAGGTGATCCCGGATGTCGGCCTGCGAGGTACAACGGGCGGATTCACCGACCCAGCAGGGCCTCCCAAGCTGAGGAGTCCAGTGTATCCATTAGGAAGCACAGGTAAGTGTAAACCAATACCAGGATCCACTACCGTCCTGGTATCAAACTAGTGGCATGGTGGCAAATCTCCCTCTTATCCACAAGGGCGACGACTACCTGTGGCGGTGACGACCTCGGGCAGACTTTGGCCAAGCTAACCTCGGAACTCCAGGGAAATGCAATAGCTAAGCCATTAAAACTCCGAAAAAATGGAAATTTTGGTGGGGCCCGCACAACTAGTTAGGACGGGCCATAAAAGTATCCAGGTGTTACCTATGAAAATTTCAGACTTGCAATCTAATATTTTAATCTATTTTCAAGGCATATTCCTCCCCCATTTACAAGGACGTCTTCCTGCATGTATGCCTGCGTGGGTGTGTTCTCGAATGCAGTGGAACGGGAGATCCGGGAAATGAAGGAACGCTAGTGTGAACCAACGAATCGATGAGAAAAAGAAACGTGAGAAAACTAGAAACTCTTCGAAGAAAACTGGTAAGGATCAAAGTACTGAAATCATTTATTGTCTAGAAACTCGTGGAACGGGTGGTAGCTTAGGAATGTTAGACTCCTAAGTCTAAATTTGGAAATGAGGAGCTTTTTCCTCCTTCTTGTAACTGGTACTGGTGAGGAACTACATGACGAGAGAAAAAAGATAAAATGAAGACCATTCTTCCGGCACATTTAATTCAACCATTCACCCATTCATTCATTCATTAGTTTTTCTGTCAATTATGACCTGAATGTAAACGAAGAGAAAAGAAAATGATGGATAAGTAGTATAAAAGAAAAAGTGTATGGCTACCGCGAATTCTATTTGTCCATCGAAACGTTAAGCTTTGCAGAAGAAAGGGACCACCAAGAACATTCTAACTGGTAAGAAGCATCAACAAATTACTGTAATACTTTACATTCTTTATCTCTGCTTTTTACTTACGATTGAAAGAGCATCACAGTTACCTTACAACGGCCGCTAGTTAAAAGTGTGGATAAAGATTCGGATCGACGTGACCTACTTTGAAAAGTACTACCAGCCATACTACTAATAGTACTGCAGCTCCAATCAATACGAAGAGAAAACGTCCAGTCAGAAGAAAAGCGCTCGCAATCCGATTACCAAACAAATTGAGTTAGTCGTCCGTAGCGCATAATTTTGCGACCGAGCGCCGAATCCGCTGTTCGGTCATTGTTGTTCGTAGATAGTTCTTCAAGCGGATTTTAATCCTTCCTATGATTTTAACTCTTTTCTTTCGAAGTTTTTCTTTTATATTGGACTAGTAACTGCGGGCTAAGCAGGATGGGATGAAACCAGTTGTTGTCTGTTTGTCTGGATCCGTGAGAGAGCGCAGTCGTAATTTATCTCTTTTGCTTTATCGATAGCTAACCCTTGGACGTAGTTAAGTGTATGGATTTCGTCTTTGTTTAATTGCTAATTCGATTTTCTTATGAGTTTTTTTTCTTGAAATTAGTGTTTTTGGTTACTAGGTTCGTTCAAGGTTATGGGCAATTCGACATGCTGCCTACGAAATCGTGGATCCATTTCAAGAGAGGAGAAAACCTACGCTTATGAAGGACATTACACAAGAAACAATCATGTTGAGGTTGTGGATATGAAGATTTCATACATTTTAACCCTTTTTATACTTCTTTTTTACGTTTTTATCTTTTTTTTGCCCACCACTTCTTCAGTGGTCGTGTTCTAGTTTCAATACGTTAACCAGACTTTCCCTCGAGATGAAACATCGACGAATTTCCTTCCTCATATTAGTGAACGGGAAGCACTTGAAGGTGAGTCTTACAGAAAGAAAACAACGTTCTTGAGGCTCAATTTTAGGCTTGCTTCTAAGCTTAGCCTTAAGGACTTAACTTTAAAAACGTCTTTTAAATCTTGAACGAAAATGTGGCTGCTATTCTGAGTTTGTGAAGAGCTATCAAGTTTGCTATAAGAAAGACCTCTATTCTAACTGGTAGAATTTTCAGTGGGAGAGGAAGACCCGTCAACTCATCCTACCGCTCGTCCAACGTTTATGGAGCGTAGCAAAAGTGAAATGAAGTGTGAGTGCCACCGACATCAACACATTGTAGTCCTTTCCCATAATAGCCAAAGGTTCATAAAAAGGATAGAATGATAAGGCTCTCGGCGTTGATCAATCCTGGACGAATGCACCATGCATTTGACTCCATTCACAGCATCGTAGAGGAGATTGAATCCTTATATGCCCTATACAATGTTTCGTGGCGGCCTGCTGGTATATCGAGTCAATGCTGCTATCCTCTGCGACGAGTTTGGAGCCAAGTTCCGGACCTGGACCGATGTAAGATTTGCTGATCCTGCGATGCGAGATTGATCCTATGTGTATTACAAGGCGCCTCTCACAACTGTGCTACACGCGTCAACGTTCACAGTGCGTAGTTTTAATCTCCAAATCTTGCCCACTTTTTCTTGGTTATATTTGCCTAGTACCTCCTTTTAGTACATGTACCTTTTCTTATTCCTACTATGGTTGTGTGTAGCGCAGTAGTCGGAGGCGCCCTCCTGTAGACATGGGATCGATCCCCACTCCCAAGGGCCACCAAGTCTCCCACCTCTCCGAGGTCGGCGATTTGGTACCAGACTTGTCTTGTAGAATAGCAGCACTGGCTCGATACATCGGTAAACCAGCGCGAGTCATCATTGTAAAGGCCAGATATGCATTCAGTCACCTCCAAACGATGATTAATGAAGTCGAATGCATGACCTGTCTCTCAAGGATTGATCAACGCCGAGAGCTTTATCCTTCATCCCTTTTTTTTATCTCCCATTAACGAATGTAGCACTTTGTTCATTCGTATTACGACCGTAATACTGTTCATAGGGGATGTCGTTTGACTACTAGGAAGTGTTGTTTTACCTACATTATATAGATCATGTCGTATTTTAGTAAAAGACAACCGTCGATCGTGTTACATGCTGGACGCAGTGGCTGGAGGTGGCGTTTTTCCGGGTGTACTTCCGAAAAGTCTTCGTAAATCGAGTAGTTGTAGCACAATTTACATGGGTATTTCCATAGTCATCACGTTTTACTTACTGCCTATTCTTATTTTAATGGCAGCGTATTATATGAAATATAACCATAACGATGGTGAGCCATTCGCAAAGCTCCGGACCGCAGGTGTATGCGGTGGAGATCGAACACGCTATCACCTTTTCCGGAGGCTAACGCGTTCACCGCTACACCATGCAGTCTTTCGTTTCGCCTTCCTGTCGGCCGTGTTATTGACCTATAAGTGCTATCAGCAATCACCCGTCAACGTGATTTATCTGAGAGCACAAATCGACATTGAACCCATCATTATGGTTATGTCCGTAGTATTTCGCTCTTCTTTGGCTTTTTTATGTCTCTACTTTTACTGAATTGTTTCCGCTGGTTTTCAGATGATTCAACAATAAGTCAGCCAAATCTGAAGAATACCATTAAATGCATATCGCTGGCAATATACTACCATATTGCGAATAGAAAAAATCGAGCTCATGAACGACTCATGGAAATTTTTGAAGAACGACTTCATCCAATTACGGTATGTTCCTTTCACATAAGATAGACGGGCTTCTCTTAGTTTATAAAATTAGACTCCAATTGAATTATGATTCCAACTTCTCAATATCACGTATGGGTTAATAGTAGCCTTCATGTTTCCTGTTTGTCATTGAATAATTCTTATGGATGTCGGTAAAGGGCGTAAAGCATCGTCCCATCGTCCTCAAGGGGTTATCGAGTAGGTTTTGCTCTTAAGAGAGACACAACGAGGAACATTTTAATCCGGGATCGAAAATTTTGCGATGGATTCTGGGCATCCGTGGTCGTCTTCCAGATTGTTTGACATTTCATGAAAATGGCTGTCGTTGTTTTCTTGTTTAGCCTTAATTGTTCTTTTTAGCTCTTGACGTTTTCTATGTTATCAACGGAATCAACAGCCTTCTCGAAATTAATGGACATGTGAAATATCGACTTTCCGCGTAATATTTTAATGAGTTTCGTAGCCGTGTAAGTATGACTTGTCGTGCTGAACATTCTCGAAATGTTGACTAGTCGAGCAATGTACAGGTATTCTATTAATTCTATGAGGTTGAGTGGAGTTAAGAGCTCTTAACCGAACGGTAAGAGAAAGATTAGGCGAAATTTGTCAGTGCCATCTAGGTCTGTCTTCTTGTACAGCACCACGGCTTTCTTGGCTTCGCATTCACAGAGAAACTTGAATCTTCATAGGTAACATGTGAAGGGTTGAGCGGCCTTGTTGATGAAGGACTGAGTTCCATTTAGTTTAGAGGCGAACTCTGTTGGAACTGAGTGTTGTGCATGCTTTCACCGACAAGATATCGTGACGAACTTTATAAGTGGGGATTATGGTAAGAGGTAAAATGGACTTTATGGTGGAGGATATCAAGATTCATTCCACGTCAAGCATAGGAGAGTTACCGTAGTGTTTGGAGCGGCCGATTTGGTGTGATCTTGGTTCTCGTGGTGAACTCAGACAACCTCTCGTCATATTGGTTTCATCCTAGTGGGTGGTTCCTATAAAAAGACCTTCAGGTGCTCGTATGAGGCTAATGTTGGTGTTAGAATCGTCATTGATGGTGTTTTAGAAGGCGTAATCATTGTCAAGCTTTTCCAAGCTTGTGGAAAGTAAATTCATTCCAATTTCGTCTTCCTTGTAGTTAACTCTTAGAGCGCAGTCACCGAAGAACTTTTTAAACATAAACGTTTGATTGCGATTGTTAGTTCGTCGAGGTCGGTAGGCATTGACAAGCTCGTATTGACTGGGGTACTTCCACCTACTTTTCTGCGATGGCTTGTTTGGAGGAACAGTTATTTTTCAGTATTACAAACTGTTCAGAGGACAATGTCTTCTGGTTTAGGCGTGAGTAGTACTTGATCTTAGCCTATTTCACTAAATTCCCGGTGTAAGCTACTGTTGGTAGCTTCTAGGCGTTGTAAGCGCAGATTATCACCGTAGTCTGCTTTAAGCGGCCTAGAACATCGCTAGGATTGTAATGGCTCTTCGTACCCAGTTCTTCCAGCACTGCAGTATTGAAAACTTTCTAACTATCGGAGGAATCCTTATCCATCAGTTTCTTGCGAGTGGTTACCGGCGGTTAACTAGCCGAGATCTGTTGTGTTAAACACGTGGCATCCTATATTTGTTTTGTTACATATGTGGTTTTATGTTATGTTATCTGCCTTTTTTTGCTGGACGTGATTTCATCTTGCCTCCTTGGTACGTCCCATTTACCTTACTCCAAGTTTTTGTCCGACTCAATGAGAAAGATTAGTCCATACATGTGCTCTTACGTACTGCCCTTGTTGAGCTGACCCAATGTTGGTACAAGTTTTCGTCGTTATTGTTGTTGCTCTTGTTGTTGTCTAGTAGTCCAACTTGCAACAGCGCGGCTCTGAAGAAAGGTGAAATCGCCGAAATGTTAATCATCGACCAACAACAACAACAACGAAAACCTATACCAACCTCGCATTAGCTCATAGGTTCAGTTTATAACATCAAAGTGAATCAGTATATTGATTATTTATGCCGAGGTTTATAAAACTAGGTGTTTTGAGTTAATGAAGATACAATTTGTATTAATGCAAACTCATGTGATTGCGAACTCTTCAAATGTGAGAAATGTTAGGCAAGTTTTAGTTAAATCTAGAAAGGGGTCGTTAGATTCATTTCGGACATTAAAAAGCCGTCCTCATTTGTGTCATATTTATCTGTTAATTAATAATTGTACTAGTCTTGGATTTATATAACTTGTGAATGCTGTATTGGGTTTGGAACTGCCTGTGGTCTGTTTGTTTTTCAACGTGTGGTTTTACAGACCACTACCGGCAAAATAGCGTTATTTTAGCGTGAAGCGTTACCACCAGAAGTAATGACCAAGGACCCGGATCATCGTCAAATATACCGATTTGTACGCACTTTATTTCACTCTGCGCAGCTCACTGCTGAGTGTGCAATTATAACGCTGGTCAGTTCTTCACTTTATAGTCTTTTCTTGCTATTTACTTTTCTAATACAGTATTTCTATCGTTAGAGAGTAACTAGTGTAGTGGAAGCTTTTATAACACACCACTTGTTGCTGCCAACGATCTACCGCTTCATCGTGGATGGGAGGTGTTCCTGGGTGTCGGGGTAGGACGTATAGCGGGCGGATTGATCTCACCAGCAGGACCTTCTTAACCGAAAAAGAGTCCGACGTTACCATCAAGAAGCCCAGCTAAGAGTAAACTAATACGAGGATCTACCACCTATCAAAGTAGTCGCATGTTGACAAATCTCCCTTTGATCCACAAGAGCGGCGACTTCCTGTGGTGGTGACGAGCTGGGGCAGACTTTGTCCAAGCTGACCTCGGGGCTACAGGGAACTACAGTAGCTAAACCAGCAAAACTCCGATAATTGAAAATTATGCCGGGGCCGCACGGCCAGTGAAGACAGACCATCCGAGTAACTAAGTACTTCTATCGTTTAATGTCCAGGTTTTACAGCGTTGCTTCATGTATTTCTTGTTAGGTGATTGTTAGAAATGAAAATTGTTGAGTTTTGAGTGGAAGACCTTTAAAAGCCATCGAGGTAGTGATGGATCATGTATAGACTCACAGCTTACTTGGTAGGTTAGGTTGTTCAATACTCTTTTTCGGATCCGTCTTATTTAAGCCAAATCTGAACTACTGGGTCCTCTATCCTTCTGTATCAATATCTTAAGAAAACTTAAAATGAAGAGGTTTAACTAATCCTTGGCACTCATTCGATGTGTTTACAAGCTACAAAAATGTCTTTTATCACTTTAGGTTTATATAGAGAGACTTCTAAATTATGCAGAAATGGATTTGTGTCCATCGAATTGGCGAAGAGTCGTTCTTGGTGCCATCATGTTAGCCTCGAAGGTATCGCCTTACGTACTTATTATTTATTGCCGTGAATTTCCTATTCGTAGTTCTCTGGTCTTCTCCAAGTTACCCCCTGTTTTTTTTTTGTAGATTTTGCACTGATAGGAGCTCCACCTTCTATTCCGTTTATTCTTTTTAATATATATTAGTCGTTCCAGGTATGGGACGATCAGGCAGTATGGAATGTTGATTACTGTCAAATATTACGAGATACCAATGTGGATGACATGTGAGGTCTTTTTTCTTGCTTAATAGTTTTTTGTTTGTAAACCTCGAAGTGTTCTGTGGTTAGCTGCTGTGAAAATAGCATCGGTTGTTCTATCCACAATCCACTGCAGTGTTTAGTGCTTATGAACCCTCTTTTTGAAGCGGCATTTGCTATTTATTCCTGAAGAGTATGTTTTGTATGTTTTTCATATTTTTAGTTGGCGTGGTCATGTTTCTTAACTATCTAGGTGAACCCTGTCAGCCCAACACCCCATTTTTACTGAGGATCACAACATTAATTTCTTTTCTCTTAGCTGCGTTCTAACCTTTGCAGGTCCCTCATGGTGTTGTGGTGCACACGTTGGCCACCGTAAAGGGTGGTAGCGGGTTCGATTTCCACAGCAGACACCCGCAGTCCGAAGTTTCGCAAGCATCTTAGCATCATTGTGGTTATATTACTTCCCTTTGTTTTGTTGCACTGCAACTGCTGTCTTGAGGCTAGTCGGGCACACATGTGAATTCGACTGCTGGTTGCGGATGTCTAAAGTCTTCCGTAATTATTCTTACGTTAAATCCTGATCGAGCGTGATTTCCCACGTAATCCGTGTTAGACATCATAGACTGTTCTTATCTTCACGATAAGTAACTACTGGTCGCTATTGATCCAAGAGAAGTTTGTTGCCTTTCGACTGGAATCCTTCCGGGACAATAGCGATTCCTTCGATTACTCGACCAGTTGTACTATGGTGATATAACTGGCCAGGTCAGCATTTCGGTCATTACGTACGCAAATTTTTTAAGCACTGTTAAAGTGCTTTTAGAGTTACTTCTTAAGCAAGCTCTATCGTCTATGCGAAATATTTTTTTTACACGACCCTCCCTTACGTTTGCGCTGAGATCCTTCCACTTCTTCCATTCGATTCGCTTCTTTGTATCCATCATCCACAGGGGTATTCTAGATTTCTACATGTACGTTTCGCAGCTGCTTAAGGATTTTCATTTCGTCGTGAATGTTGTTGAGTACTGATCGAGTCGATTCCTCCTGAAGTCTTGAGGTAGCGGGGCTAAAGCGTTTCCACTTGCAATGCAAAGAGTGAACCTTCGCAAGACTGTTTTGGCAGCAATCTGCCGACCTGGGAAGGATTGGAGGCTTGATGAGCCCGGGGAGGGATGAAACCAAGCACCATGCTCGTGATGATCGGCATCGCAACGATTGCGCTACCCGCCCCTTTGACCTAAGTATTACGCATTCATTTTTTAAAAACCTACTTTCCTTTGTCTTCGGCATGACTTATCAATGTGTTTTTTCATCGATAAGCTAACACGAAGTTGATTTTTAAAAATCCCATTAGCTGAAGGAGTCTAAGACGCCGAAACGTTAGCCGAGTAAAGTTCTTATCAACCTTGTGTTAGCTTATCAATAGAAAAATTACACATCTATTTTAGGAAATATATGGTAGCGTTCTCACTTTACGATCTTCATATTTCTTTCAGGAACGAACTTGAACGACGTTTCCTCGAGTGCCTTGACTTCAACATAGAAGTGCCGTCATCGGTTTATGCAAAATACTACTTTGATCTCCGAACACTTGCTTTGGCCAATGATTTGCAATTGCCACTTCAACCACTTTATAAAGAACGTGCTAAACGTTTAGAGGTGAGTTCAAATTGCGTTTACGTTGTAGTGAAGTCTCAGGTTTTATATGTGCGTGTATTCATATCGTCCACTTTGTCATCATTTCCGCTGTTTAGTTTAGATTTTTAAACGAGAAAGTTAGCGTTACTTGTTGACCTATCGAAAGTTATCGTATCCGACTTCATTGTAGAGTAGTTTTCTTCAAATTTTCAATATCTTGTTCTTACTACATATACTTCTTTTCTCTTCTGCAGTATATTCTCAAACGTCCTTTTCTAGACGATATTTTAAACTTTTAGACTATTTTTGACCCACTTGTGTCCGTTTCTTCCTTTTAGATCACCTTTTCCGTCTGTGTTTTCCACTTTAATTCTTTTGTTTATTTGTACTGAATCTTTTCAGGCGGTGAGTCGAGTATACGAAGACAAGTTTAGTAGTCTTAAACGAAGTATTTCGGCTGAGCGCATCTACTCGGAGAGAAGAGCGCCTACTGTGCTTTCTTAAGCTCCTTCTACTTCCCATTGCAGTTGTCAGTTTGATTAAATCCTTGGTTTATCACCTCGAATTAGATGCTGCTGTATATCTGATAATGTCGATTACATTTTCTGGTATGCATACAATTACATTGTTTAATTAATTGCCAAAGTTTACAGAAGTGTATACGTACTTAACTTGTTTCCCGACTCGCCCATCACGGTCCTCTTTTATGTTATACTTTCGCCTTGTCATCGTCTACTTACAGTCTAGATTCCTCTTCATTTAGCCTGTTTTCATTTTTTTTCTCCTTTTATTGCCTACTGGTTTGGCCATCTCAACAGTTCTTACTGTTTTTTGTTCATATTTAAATTTGGGTCAGTTTTTCCTTTCAGACGAGGTTTTGTTGCCGATCCCATTATATTAACGACTATATAACTTATATATGACTTTACATATAACATTACCAGTTATATTCTATAATGTTTGTATGATTTTTGAACTTTTGAAGTTCCTTATTAGGTGTCCTTATTGTTGCTGATTTTCCACATTGTTCTGATGAAAAATGTCTCTCATTATGAAGCCAGGTAACGTGTAGAAAAATGTGATTTGTTGGTTTTCGATCACAAACTGGTAAGAAGACCAGCTTTGTCATATCAGATGAATATTCTTGGAGTGGTCGTCGGGCAGTAGAGACATGAAGGTGTTCATGGGTACCAGTATAACTGTTGTAGTTCACGCATAACTGTTGTAATCTAGACGTTTATCGAGTAGAAAAGTCCTCGAGAGAGTTACTTCACTGTTAACTACTACTTCTTTTGATCAAAATAGTTGGTAAGTTGTTTTTTTTATTCGAAGTTAGTCCATAAAGGTATCTTTAATAGCGAACCAGTGTTGTTCTCATTGCTGTCTTATGGTACCGTGCATTTGTTTATGTTTCAGTATAAATCGTCTACTTCTAGTATTATGATTTTAGACTAGAAGATTGTTAAAATACATCGTAATATGTTTGGGAGCCTTTGAAGGGATCATTTTCTTTAGGCTTCTTCTAATAGACCTCTAGTGAGAGTTGCTACTGTTTTAGGAATGTGTGAACACGGTGGCGGAGGTTGCTACCACGATTCAACTGAGGTTCTTGATGTCAGTGAAGTACGACGTTACGATATGTACCAGTTCATTGATATGGATAAGGTTAATAGAGATCTCAACACTTATCTTAAGTTCAACATGTTCTAAATTTTGACTACGTGAAGAAATTTCTTTAAAAGCTGCAGTAACTAACCTAATAGCAATGAAACTGTGCTTTTTTGAAGCTGTTTCTTTAGTTACAAAACTCAGGACCGCAGGTGTTTTACGATGTAATGCACAACATTCTTAGATGTCGATGCGAGGATTTTCCGTGATATCTCAGTTCATACTAAACCAATTTAGCGAGATCGTTGTGTAAAAAAAATTTCGTTTAAAAAGAGCTAGATACATATGTCGTCTTGACGACATTACCATTGTAATCGATGGAGAGATATCATAACTAGGTGTTGGACATGTAGGCTTCAGTTCCACTCATTCATGTTCCAGTTTGAAGAATAGCCATCAGGATAATGGCGATTGCAGCGTACTTTTACCAGGTATAATAAAAGAACACGGGATTTCCTCCATCATCGTGATATGAAATTGACGGAGAAACTCCCCTCGTCTCTTCCGCTACACTATTTTCATTTGTGGAGTCCATGGTCCCCCAGAACAACGCAGGTCTCATCGATGTGGACCATAAGTTGTGATGCAAGTAGTAAGAATCCTCCATAATTGTGAGGTAAAAAGACGGGCATAGAGTGAGGTGGTTCCTTTAGAACAAAAAAGTGCACTGTAATCGAAGGTTGAATTACAACGAATTTTGTTTTTGCCGGTAGCACCCTTATTATCTTTACCTTTCCAAGAGGTATCTATGGATTAAAGAGGATAAATTTGACGGCATGAAAAAAGGATGGAATGCTAGTGGACCGAGAGATCCAGTTTCTTGAAAACTTCTTTCGGGAGGAAAAATGAATTTGGATGATCGAATTTCCGCTTACGGAGAGCAATTTTTACGTGTACACGAAGCGCTCGATGTGAATAATAAACGAGACTAGAAAAAGATCCAGCAAAATACGGAAGGTGAGCAGCTCACCTTCTGTTCTTTTAGGAGGAAGTATCGACTAATGATTCCAAATATCGTTGTTAACATTTCTCTGGTTAACGGTTCTTGCAACATTTTTTATGCTGTTAAGAAATAGGCTGACACTTCAACACTATGTTAGGAATTTTGCATACCACACACCGATCGCTTAATCCAGGAGTTCTGAAATACGCAACGACATCGTGTTTTAGTGAACCTGAAGTATTTCCATCCAAAGCGGTGATTTCAAGGAAATTAATGCTATATCTTAACGTTCAACTTTAAGTGCTCCTATTTCGGATACTAGGATTTACAGATGCAAACACGTTGTGTCAACCAGGTCGATGTTTGTATACTATATCATTATCGTTATGTTCGCTTGTTAACAAACTGATGTGAGGTCGGTAACAAATTCTGACGTTTTGACGACAATGTTATCTTCTAAATGTTAGTGATTGAACTCGAGTGTCTACAGTATTGCTACTTCCGGCGATTTGTGAGTGCTTGGTGTCGTACAGTGTCAAATTAAGTGGAGTGGAACACGGCGCGCAGCACCTTTGACGAAACGTTGGTCAGAAAAAAAAAGAAAAAAGAGGAAAGAAATTGTTGCATTGTTGCCAATCTTGTTTGCGTTTATCAAAGAATCAGCGTGTTGGCCATTCGCTCAACAATTTGACCTTTCCAGGCTCTGAAGAAGGCGAAACCGCCGAAACGTCAGCAATTGAGTTCTAATAAATTCTATATTAACAACCTCGTGTCTGCTTATTGATGAAAAACATTGAATTCGCTCAACAGTTAAATAGAATTCGATCCTAAAAACTGATCCTCTAAAGGCGTCGTCACCAACGTCTAGGTTATTGAGGAGTTTTTGGTTGTCGGAGCGAAGTGCTTAAGAAAATGATAATTGACGAGAGGTCCTGTGAATATGCTGTTTGCAGTTGTTTGTGGTTTTGTAGACTTTATTATATTTCTGCTGTGTCGTGTTTTTGCATGGAATCAAAAAGTTATGGTGATTGATTCCGTATATAAACGGCAAACAGCTGACATATCTTTCTTTGATTCGAATTTGTCAGTAGAATGTGTTTAGCTCGTTCACCTTTAAGCGTCATTGTAGATAGCACCGTTACTTCTTGTGCAAAATCTGATTCTTGCCGTACATCATTTAACGGATGATTGCTGATGGCTCAGTAAGGGTAAAAACTGGCTGAGCGAAGGGCAAAGCAAAGGCCTCAGTGGCGCTCTGAGTAGTACGTGTCCATCCACAAGCGTCTAGGTTTTGCAAATATCTCAGCATCATTGTGGTCATATTTCACGTAATACTTAATGCTTTCTCATGAAAAAAAAATCGTTAAATAATGGTTGAATATTGTTCCATTCTTGTTTGTCGTAGTTACTTCGCATTCCTCCATTAGCTTTTGAACTTGATTTGAGGGGTTTTTTCAGTTCTCTCCGTAAATGACCATAGTCGATAACAGCGAGTCATCCATGACCTTTCTCGTTTTGAGTGCTCTTATACCACGATTTTTTGAAATCAGCAGTGAATCTATTGTTGATGACTTTACGTCAATCTCGAAATTCGGGCAATGAATCCTTCCGGTTTTCCTTTTTTTCTTTTAATTCTACTGCCATAAAGTAAACAGGAATTTTCGGAGAAAAAATTAACAATTCTTTCTACTTCTGCTCAGCAAACACGAGGTGCTAAGTGTGAAGAATGAACATTTGCTTCGTGTTTCCTGAACAGAAGTAGAAAGAATTTTACAATCAATGCCGAGGTTAACAGAAAGTCGGACTTGGGAAAAAATTAACGTTAGAAATAGAGCTAAATCTACGCCTTGGAATGGTACATTATGTGAAAGCAAGGAGACAAAATTCCACTTGAAAGTAGAACATCAAAATTTAGGAAGAGAAGACAAATTAAGTTTTGGATAGTTTGACGATGTATTTTGTAGTGGAAACCGAGGAAACGGGTATTCTACCGTCTTTCAGCAAGGTTGAAAGCGGATTTCCAAGACTGATGAGACGTATTTGGTAGTTCGGAGTCCCTTGATAAGTATCTCAACTCTCGATGCGTTTGTCATCCCTGATATGTTGGTAATATAGGAGAGGAATTCATTCTTGAGCGTTTTGGTCACTACCTACAATCCCTTACCTTTTTGTGTGGTGAAGCTCTTGTATAGCTCGAGGCAGAATTACATGGATCAGACAAGGACTCGAGGGCTTAACAGTGGTATTATGATAGGACTCTTCCAGTGACAATATTCTTTCTATCTTGAAAAGGGGATTTATATGGATAAAGGTGCTATGGACGTCAGCTTGGTAACTCGGTTTCATTACTATCTTGATCTCCTGTTTAGAACCTGCTTCTACTCTTCTTCTATGGCTTTCCTTAGCTTAACGCTCTCTTGCACATCAATAATGATAACGCGTGAGGCGAAAATGCTTTCATCTACTTTTTTGGCTAATCGATCAAGTGAAAGTCGGCTTCATTATCAGAGAATTCCCCTGGTCATCTGAGGGGATTTCTAACGTTCTCAATCGTGTCGAGAGTTTTGTAGACCGTTGGGAAGTTTTTCTTTTTCTTATTTTTTTCCTTCTAGTCTTATTAAGCAGAGGCAAACTTTGTTAGCATAGCTCGAAAAACCGACTTTCTATGAACCTCGGTATAGATAGTTGATACAGATCTTCGTTGTCGTTGTCGTTGTTTTTGATGTTATTGATGGATGGCTGACGTTTCGGCGACTTCGCCTTTTTTGTAATTTTTGTAAATTTTTTTAGCATATACGAATACTATAAAGCTTTTCTCTCGGTGTCGTCATAAATTTCTTGGAATTTTCTTTTTGAATCTGTTTTGAAGTTAAGAAACACTTTTTTCTATTAAATTCTGCAAAAATAATCCAATTAATTGGTGGAGAGGAGCCGCACGGAGTAATACATAGACGAAGACTGTCACAGAAGAATCTCACAGTCCTCGTCCATGTATTACTCTGTGCGGTTGCTCTCCGTCTGTTAATTGAAATAGTTGCAAAGAATAAAACGGCTCTGAAGAAGATGAAACCGCCGAAACGTCAGCTATTGTGTGCTGATAAGTTCTGTAATGTCAACTTCGTTTTTTCTTATCGAAAAAAACATCGGATTATGGATCATTGCCGAGGTTAAAGGAAAGTCGGTCTTGGGAATTGCTGCATGGAGTGCCAGCAGAATATTTCCGACTTGTACTATGAAAAAGTAGTCACTTTTGAAGATGAATTTGTAACGGTTCTAGTGAAAATGTTCCAATGAACTTTCCCGATTAGTGCAACTCCCAGAGCATTTTTTGAATATTCTTTAGCCATATATTTATAAGCATATGTTTTTGAAATACGGGCATTCTGTACGCGTAGGGAAGCTTACAAAGTATAGAAGAACATAAACCGACGCGTAAGTAACAAGTACAGTTTGTTTTCACTATAAAAAAATTCACTAAGACTTTGTTGCATGAAATATTGGCTGTTTTATCATTGTTCTAGGCCACTGTTTTGAACGAAAGCATTGACGGTCAAGGAAAGCTTGTCCTCAAGGCAATGGAAATGAGACTCGACAAGTTAGTTATATTTTGGGCTGTTTTCGCTACATTTTTTTTTTGGTAACAGTACTACAGTGATTAAACAATGGCGCAGGTTTTTAAAAACGAAACTGCAATCTTTTTAAACCAATAGTCTCTACTTGGCGCGTGTAGCGCAGTGGTTGAAGGCGCAACTGCGACATGCGTGGAATTTGTCTCCGCACCCATAGCCCACCAAGCCTTCCATTTCTCCACAGTCGGCAAATTGGTACTGGACTTGTCTGAGAAGATAGCAGCACTGGTTGGACACATCGGTAGGCCACCGCAATTCATTGTAAAGGCCAGATATGCATTCAATCACCTCCAACTTAATGAAATCGAATGCATGGCGCATCCTTCAGTGATTGATCAGCGCCGAGAGCTTTATCCTTTAACTTTTTAAATCTAGACTTAAGTGTGATTTCTATGAACATTTGGTTTGATTTTGTGTAAATCAGTAATTTTCCAGTGATCCTTCCACTAAGATGGAAAAGGAGTGGGTTGATCATATCACTAATAATTGGGAGAATAATCCATGTTATAATAAATGAATGAAATCCAGATCTGATTACTTATGAGCTACGTATCGTGTCCTTCTTCAGGTAGTAGGTTTAGAGGTTGAACATAGACCAGAAGCAAATAAGTATATCTATTGAGACTCAGGCAAGGTCATTTGGCTTTGTTCCACCCGATTGAGACGAACGGCGACTTTGTTAGCGCTTGGTCGAGTCACTCACCCATAAATGGGTTTGCGTTTGATACAGGTGATGAGGAAAGTAACCATATTTAGATTTGTGAATATTGATGTTTACGGGTTAAAAGGCGTGAAAAAAACGGCTGTAAGAATGTTCATATTTCGTTGCTTTAAGGACCGATTTTGTCGTTAGCGATTGCGATGAGGAGCTGCTGTTTAACTTGCCGTTCTACGGACATGTGAGGATTACTGGGATATCTGTGATTGGAGACGAAGACGAAAGTCATCCAGCGAAAATCCGACTGTTTAAGGACAGATCAATGGTGGGGTATTATGTTCACCATGTGTTTAATAATAAACCTCTTCATTCATCTCTTTATACCGACAGTCCTACTAGATTTTGAACGATTGGAAGTTGCTACATTTACGTGTTATTGATTGTAAACAACTTGTTTTTGTTTGAAAGAGAACAATAGCACAACGAAGGAGTATTGATCTGATATGAATAAAGCTACTCACAGATTACACTTCGCTGCAGATTGATGTCTAGTTTAGAGGAAGTTTAAACGAATAATTGTAGAGTCCTTAGCAGTGTTGTTATTTTGTATTCAGAATGACATGATCTGATGTTTAACTAGTTGGTGATTTCGTATTTATCCAGGTCTGCTGTAACCCAATCACGCTTTTTCATCGCTTTGTTTATAAACAAACATTTTTGTTCATTTGCTTACCTAACCGTTTTTTAACAAAGATGGCATTCTGCGCATCATAGCTGGGAATATTCCTTGAGTCGAACAGCGATGTGCAGCCGGGGGTCCATTGACGTACTAGTGTCACCCAAGATGAAAAGTCTAATAGTTTAACTTTTCCATTGCAATACTTAGTTGAGGATGAGAATAAATTTATGCTACAGAAAGGCGTGACGAAGTACCTGTGACTTGGTTAGTGCCAGAAACACTCAAGGTGAACGTCATTCCAGAGCTGTGATGCTCATTTTATCCGTTCTCAGAGCGGAGACCACCAAATCGCGCCTTAGTATTTTATGGGCCCAATTTGTTAGATATTTATCGTGCTTGCAGCTGATAAAATGGTGCAAATGAATCTATTTTTCATCATATTTCAAAGTTAATAAATAAATTTTACTTAATAATTAAGCTTGTGGAATCTAAACTGCTTATTGAATGCATAATGACGAAGTAGCGCTTTTAAGCACAGAATGCAAAAGTAGTTACTAATGTTTTAATTTTTGGATGTCTAACTGTTGGCACTGTGATGACATATTTAAAACTAGTACGATGTTTCCGACGGAACCCTTTCCATTGTATGCTACCCAAGGCGACAGCTCTAGGACAAGGTGTTCTTTTTTACTTCTTCTTCTTCTTCTCCCCCTCTCTGCTCTCCTTTTTCCTCCCTCCTCTCCTCCTTTCTCCCAATCTTTCCCCTCTCTCTCTCTCTTACCGAGCGTTTGGTACCTTGGCCCTTCTAAATTTAATATTCAACAACCTCCTATTCCCGAAAATTGACGTGAGAAAAAGTACGTAATCATATTTTTGTTACTTGTTTTGTGCTATCCGTTTTTTTATGTAGCCTTATAAAAACTTATATTTGAAACCCAAGAGTGAGGACTAATAGCCTTCATATGTGCGGACGAGGCGATGGTAGTGATGTCGATTTCCATAAAGACGGTTCTGGTTCGATCCCGCCCACTGCTCACCAAGCTTCTCATTCCGCGTTCGAAAAATTAGTACTAAAGCTGTCTGCGAAGATTTGACTCCCTGCATTCCAAATGGGAACACTCTAGCTTGACTATCCTTTCAAGGACATTTTTCATGAAGGGGGAAATCCTAAAGCAACGGAACCTGCACGCAAAAAGTTCGGAGACTTTCTTGGATGATAGATGGGTGGAAACGAATCGAATAAAAGAATTACTGGAATCTGCACAATGGATGTGGAAGACGGGTCGTTTAAAGTTTAAAAAAAATTAGCCTTTCTCTCGTATTTGCCTCGTGTGTTTTATATTCTCAGTAAGTCGTTCTCTCTACTCTATTGTTAAAGATTTTCAGTGTCATTGATTCAGAAACATTTTATATTTAGCTGAAGAGGTGATAAGGTACTGAACGAGTGATCGCTCGTGAAACATTCTTTTCTCTTGCTGGACTGTGCACACGCAGTGCCGAATGCGGAGCTAATCTTGGCCGATAATTGTTCGCTTAAATTTGTACTTGCTTTCCATTTCAACTCTGCTAAGGTGTATTTCCGACTCTATTAAAGTGTTTCTTTGACTTTCTCGTAGTAGAACTATGTCTTCTACTCAAAATATATTGAAATATCTCATGTAGAGCTAGCAGAACCAACGTGCAGTATATTCACAGTACATTCAGTGACAAACTAGCAGTAGTAGAGGGTGTTCAATTAAGATTCTGCTTAAGTTTTACAAGTTAAATAAAGGGATGACTTGTTTATTCCTAATGAGTGAAGTCGTTTATCGAGCAGACGCACTCTACGTTGGTTGAACAGAAATGTAGCAAAAAACTGACGTTTAAAAGTGTTTATACAAGCACAACGTTGCTGAGATATTTGCAAAACTCTGGACCGCAGGTGTCTATGGTGGGGAACGAACGCGCTATTGTCCTTTCCGGGGAGTAACGCGTTCACCACGACACCATGCGGGTCCTTCGTTCCGCCTGTCTCTCAGCTATTTCTTTGATCTTTGCCACAGCAATCACCTGTCAGCGGGATTGATCTGCCGCGCCCAAATCGGCGTAGAACCCAGTTAAGCTGCGGCTGTAGTTGAAATTACAATGTTATACCTTTTTTATTTTCTGCCTATTATAATAGAAATAGCTGAGAGACAGGCGAAACGAGGGACCCGCATGGTGTGGTGGTGAACGCGTTACTCCCCGGAAAGGACAATAACGCGTTCGTTCCCCACCATAGACACGTGTTGTCCAGAGTTTTGCAAATGTCTTAGCAACGTTGTGGTTGTATTTCGCTTAGTACCCTGCCGCGAAATTATAATAGGCAGAAAGTAAAAAAGGTATAACATTGTGGTTATACAGTTTTTTTGTCTTAGAAGTTGTAAAAGCGAGCTTTATACTTGGCCATTGCAGTTGTTGTCTGTAGAAACGCACTATCAACAAATTCGCGACAATTTGCATTGATTTCAATGCGTGTTATCCGAGAATGCTGGCCGCTTTCAGACCTAAATTGATATATCTTAATTCGTGCCAAATATCTTTAATTTTAATGAGAACTATTTGAATACACGGTTTTTTAGTTGCAATTGTAGATTGTTCGTTGTTCCACGTCTAGGTTCCGATTTTCCGAACCGTCACAAAACGTATTTCTTTAATTTTTGCTGTCAAGAGCCGAATTTTAAACACCGGTTAGGGAAATTCATGTCGCTCAGCAACGAGACGCTAATGTATGTGATGTGATCGATCGTTATTATAGAGTGAGTAGCTGCAGGCTGTAAAACGGTTAGGTGATCAGCAAACCCGATTAATAGAACCCAAGTAAATCGTGCATCTGGGTGATTAAGGTTATGGACTTCATATTCTTATCATCAAAGCACTAGTAAGTCATTTGGTTCCCCTTTGCATAACGAATTCAGTGCGCATGTAACGCAGTAGTTAGATGGCTCCTCTGAATGTTTACATTGCCATTGATTCAATGTTCTGCCCTTAGTCAACCAAGCCTTCCGCCCTCCTGGCTTGGTGAACTGTACCAAACTTATCTGAGCTTATCTAAGATGGCAAAAACAGTGACTTGATGTATAACTGGATCCTGTAATTGTATTATGTATTCGATTATTGATGATGTGTAATGCATGGCATATTCCTAAGAAATTCATCAGCGCCGAGCAACTTATCCTTTGTCCTTTGTAATAAATCTGATTAGACAGGGGATATCCACTTTGGTTTTACAGAAGCTTATACCTGGACTAGTAGCGTTTTATCGGTCGTAAACCTGTCTTCTGTCAATTAATAGCATTGAGATGCATGGTGAATTTGGCGTAGTAAAATCGTGGTACAAATTTTTGCGCATCGGAGAAACCTCGTCGTTTCAGAAAACTCGACAGTTTGAGAAAAGAAAAATCTTTATCTTACAAATAGATCTATAAATTGTTTGGTGGAGTACCAGCTCGGACGTAGTGTACTTTTGAGTTTTGTGGATGTGGCTACTTTGTTTTCAGTTCTGTTCAAAAATTTACATTTTGTTTCGTCTGTTTTAAAAATGTGCGGCTGGACGAATTTAGAATTGTAATCATTTTTTGGATTTTTTAGATGTCATTCGATGACTGCAGCATTGAAGCTGATCAAGAGATCAATTTGAAGCAGGACCCAAATGGTTAGTATAATTTCCTCTTTCTTGTTCTGTTGTCTTTAATTTTACAGTTTTTTGAAGTTTAGGTGTTGTTGATTATCCTTTGAAAGCTTCAAAGTTTGGCACGCTGTCACACATGAGCGTTCATATCCAGACGAATTTTGGCGCTGAACTGACGAAAGTGTACTACATAGGTTTGCGTGGAGAATACCAGGCAGATTTTCGTCAGCAAGTCAGTATTTTAAAATCTTTGTTGTAAAAGTTTTTGCGGTTTGCATAGCGTACAAGGGTTTTTCTCCAAAAGCTACCTCAACTGTTTGCCGACTCATCGTGGGTGCCGTGTTTCCCTCGATGTCGAACTGCGATGAGTTCATTCTTAGAAAAACCAGGCAAGTTGTGAAAAGAGTTTGATATTTGCTTCCGAAACTGAGTTAAAAGTTAATCTGTGTAGAGGCGAGGACTCTGCGTTGCTAATGGTTATCGGAGTTATAGGTAATATAGGTGATTAACCAAAAGTTGAAGTGTTGACAGAGTTTGTTTTCGCTGGAAGAACTATAAGAATGAGGTTTGCAATCGAAAATCCAAGTTAATTGAGGTTTGTGTAAAACACGTGGCGCTTGCCTTCTTAAAAAAGGTAGATTTCGTGTGAACTGATGCCTTACATGTGGAAAATATAATTCCAGTTTTAAAAGAAGCTGGGAAATATGCGCTTAAATCGGCTTAAATCCGCCGATATTTCAGATTGCTATAGCAACATACGAGGCTCGTCCACTAATGAAAGATCATAAGGGCGAGATTCCTGACGAAGCTGGACGAAATTTGTTCCTCCCTTCTTGTTAAAATACCTGTGGTTACGGTATCTCAAAAATTTTTTTTGCCACTGACTTCTGTATTTTAATGGCCTTTGTTCAGTTGTTATCCCACAGGTGATCCGAAACAAATCGTTTTGTTCTAAAAATGCCTTCTTTTTTGTGATACCCAATAAAGTTTTCAAATGACTCGATTTTGTTGCATTTGTCTTTAGAATAACTTGATGAAGACTAGGTAACTTGAACAACTTTTAGAATGGCTAGTGTAGAATTTCCTATTAGTATAAAATCCTAATGGGGCAATTCGGCAGAATTTGTCAGGGAGACGGAGGGATTCGCTCGTCATTCATTCGTAATCGAGAAGAAGGTGGTAGACGGGAGTAACGAAAGAGATGAATCCTTTTACGAAGATACGTATATGTTCTATTTATACGAGTTATGGCTACTGCAAGGTAGACGTAACGCAGTGGTTAAAGATGCAATGCAACGCATAGTCTATCGTTCACTGATTCGTTCTGAGGTCCCACGCCTATCAAACCTTTGTATAGGTAGACCATCGAACGTTATTGTATGGAATGGATAAATTCCGTAACCTCTACTATTGTGCGAATGGAGGCGAATACGTGGTACTTTCCTAAGGTAATGATCTACGTCATACGCTTTATCCTCTATTATCCTTTGATGGTGACGAATAAAGCTCCAGCATACGAAATTCACGACATGACATCGAATTTTGCGAAATGATTAATCAGTAGAAGTAAAAAATTGGTTGCGCTATTCAGATTTGTTCGAGGTCATCTAGGAATTCAATACCAAGAGCCATAAATCAAAATCGATGACTTTTCCCCTTAAATTGCTTTCAAAATGGTGATTAAAATGGGGATTTTATAAAATACTTCTGCGTAGATGAAGTGAGATATTTCCTTTCATTAGAACGAATCACAGTAGCCCTTCCTATGAAATGTACACTAGACGAATAGTTTCTGCACCTTCGTCTAAAAAAAGGATTAAAACTTAATGAGACCTTAACCTTTTTATTTACTGCCTATTCTTTTTAACGGCATGGTATGTTGCGAAATATAACACACCCTGTCGTTAAAAAGAATAGGCAGTAAATAAAACAGTTAAGATTGTGATTATAATTATAGCCTCAGCTTAACTTAGTTTAATCCCGATTTGGGCTCCCCAGATCAGTGCCGTTGACGGGTAGTTGCTGATGGTAAGTGATCGATAGAACTAACTGAGAGACAGGCGAAACGAAGGACTTGCATGGTGTGGTGGTGAACACGTTACTCGCCGGAAAGGACAATAGCGCGTTCGTTCTCACCGCAGAAATCTGCGGTCCGGAGTTTTACAAATATCTCAGCATTACAGGACTTAATGAGACCGTTACAGATTTGAAATCACATCCCCTGTCCCTCTCGCTTTTGCGGTTCACCACTTCTATTCGATTGGTATGTCTTCTTGGATGGTGAAAGTCACTCTTCAGCCGTACTCATCCAAGATGAGATGTTCGACTTATTCCTTCGGATGACAGACTGACGAAAGTAAATGCATACTGGAAGTCAATATAAGCATGAAGGAAACCCAGTCACTTCGCAGTAAGCCTGTTTACGATCCACAAGACCATATGAGTGACAACGCTATAGTAACGCTATGGCATAGGTTTTTTGGGACTTAATTAGAATGACTTGTCAACATATCAGGTAAATGAGGATGTAGTTGGCACCGCAAGAATCTTGATACAAATATGCAATTTAAGTATCAAGAACTAAGTTAAATAATGAGTTAAAAAAGTGTTATAGTAGTTTTTAGAATGGAGTAACTTGGACAAGAGTTGGATTTCCAGTGTAAGTGAGAGCGTAACCCAAGAAGTTGTAGTCTCCTCAGTTCCTTGCAGAGAAAGATAGTCTTCTTTTGATCGTTGGTCCAGATGTAGACACGGATTTGCTAACATCAACAGACTTAGTTACTGTAACGTATTTCCTTCTCAGAAGAACATGATTGCGGAACACTAGAATTCGACCTACTCCACTTCCTCATTAGTCAGAAAGACCGAAAATTATTTAAAAATACTTGCTGAGGTGAATGTCGGTGGAGATGGACACTTCTTCATCTTCGTCTTCCAGACTATGTCCTAGAATATTCCTCTAATTGCTCAATCGTCAGTGATTTCGAACGATGAGTCCTGCGACCTGGATTGATTGACGAATGGAAGAACGATCTTTTAGTACTGCCTATGTGGTTAGTACAAATTATAGAAGTGGCCGTTAAGTTTCCGATCATCTACAGTGGCGTTCCATGGAAATGAACAAGGACTGCTCAAGGACGATGGAGAAGTAGAGCTTCAATGTAAAACTCCAAACAAAAAACTCTAGTCTAGTAAATATTAAAAAAAGAATGGAAGGTAATCCACAAGTGATGATAAATAAAAAAATAAGATTTAGGAACACTTCTTTAGATTTGGAATTCCCGATAAGAGTGGAAATTTTGCAACACCCTAAATACTCGGGTCATCAGTTAGTTTTCATAACCACCGATCTACATGGAAGAGACAATACTTTAGACATTTCTGGATGCAAGGCAGAAATTGGAAAACCTGCGAGAGTTCCATCGAAATGATTGTGGAGTAATTTATTCTATAATAGTAATTTAGAGAACTTATAAAAAATATGGTAGAGTGGTCGCTTAGTGAATGACATGAGCCATATCTAAAGCTTCTGAGCCACTATTTAGGGCACTCAAGACGTATTTAATTTAACAAAAACCACTATCAGGGTGTTAAAGTTGTAATGGCAATTTCTTACCGTCATTCTTATCCCATCTACTGTTAGTTGCTTCTCAATAAAATCCGTTTCTATCAAAATGATTCCTTAAAGTAGGTATTAATTACGGGAGGCATCAGACGATAAACTCAGGCTTTCTTAGGATTTCTATCAAAAAGCAATGACAACAATAATTCAATAAGACAAATTCGTAAGCCAGAGAAGTGTTGTCATACGAGGATCACTTCTAAGCTACTCTACGAAATCACAGAAGCTCTCATTCCCACCGACTTTGCTGAAGTTCTGTTTGTTAGGAAAAAAGTCTCCCTCTATAGTCCGGTACTATTTTTCTTTTACTGACTGACTATGAGCTATTGTTATTTCTTTACAGAAAGAAAGACAGCTTAGAAACAAAGAGTTAATAATTGTTTATACGGCGTTTCCTACATAAATAAGGCGGGTCCCGGAATAACAACCATTTTACTGGCATTTCGTTGGTTAAAGAGGTTTTTCTTTCCATAGCGCCCAAACATCCTTGTCAAAGCAATCCCAGATTGTCACCACTATACAGGATGCCGACAGACGTCATTGTGAATCGAATGAAGGCATAACGCCTTTCTATTGGATTTCCTCCAGAGTGGAGACGGTTCTTGACCGGGTTTTCAAATTGAGGTGTCGACCTCTTCAATTTGGTGAACACTGACGGGTGGTAAACCTCGTTTTACATCCAAGAACATTCCATTTTACGATAATGCGTTAAACCTTCGAACGGAACTACAAGTGGTTCTTATGTCAAGGATTTGCCCCATTTTCAGTTATTATGCCGATGTTTTGTAGATGAAGATTTCTTCTCAACACACCTTAATATGAGAGTGTAATTGCATTCAACGACAATATGAAGTGTTTTAATTAAATGGAGTAAAGTAAGAAACTGCATCACGGAAATTAAATCTGCATAAAACCGGGATTTCACAGTTGCAAACGTTGCCAGCAGAGATTCTATAAAAAACTTCTCACTTACTAGATCTACCGGCAAACATGAGGCTCCCCACGTCCCACGTTTTCGTTCGTTCGGGTGTTTTGTCGGTCCCCAGTGTACACCGCGGGCGCGGCTGGTCGCTGAGAAGGTGATTGGACGCGCCCCGCGTCCCTGCCAGGCACGTGCGTTTCGCGTCCATTACCACCGCGCCGCGCGCACTCTCTCACCGGGCAACAACCGCCTGCGTCCGGCTGCTATTGGTCGTCTCTCGTCGCCCACCATCGCCACTCTCGCGCCGTCCAACAAAAACAGAGAGTTGTCAGCGCCGTTCGCTATACGTCAATTGTTCGAATCGTCTAAGTTGTCCATCAAAAACGCTGCGTATGGTTATGGTAACTCGAATAACCTGGTCAGGGTCATTTCCACACTGCAATCTACCACAAGCGGGTCATCGCCGCCTACGGGAGGCGTTCGCTCTAACTTTCTCGTCTGACGTGAAGGTTATCGGCTCCATGTCATCTACAAGTTGATAATCTATTGTCTTGTATCAGTGTACTAACAACATATTAATTAGCTCAATTCAACATCCACAATTCGAAAAAATGACTTATTATTTCGCGGTTTCAGAGGAACGTTATTGTCTGCAGTGTAGCTCGTTAGGCACTGCTCAGTAACGTTGTTATGATGCCTAAAAGCCGTTAAATGCCCGTGGGAGCGCCATGTGCCGCCAGCGGAGCGCCTAATCAAATGTTTGGCTATCGAGCGCCGGCGACGGCGCGCCTTAGTGCACCGCCCCGTGCGCACACTATTTACCCACCCGTTACCGTATATTAGCAGTACCGTATGCGTTAGCGCGGAGAAATGAAGGTCAACTATGCGACAGAATGACGACGGCCAACACACGCTCTTTTAATTGGCACACGTCTATAACGAATACGAAACGCGTGTGTGACAATTAGGCGTGAAATTATTCATTTATTCTGCATTTGCAGATTGGCAACCAATCGTTGCAGCTCCTCAGAATATCACACGCGTTCAATGAACATTCATATTTTCGTGCATACGATCAGCGACACTGGTTACCGAAACAGATTCACAATTGGAAATTGGCCACTGCAGATTTTTTGTGCTCTTGTGAGCGTGAGAGGTCGATTTACGCCTGTAGATGAAAACAATTCGTCGGTGGTGAAACCGAACTCATTTGCATTTGTTCAGTTGTAAAGAAAAAATGCTCTGCGTACCCAGTGTTTTTTCTTGAGTAAACACGAGGTTGTTAGCAACAAGATT